CAACCACTCCCCACCAAAGTAGCGAGTGACCGCGCCGTGCGATAACAACCTGCGACAAATTATCATTATTGTTATGATTAATATTTTTAAATATTATTATTGTTTTATTGATATTATTAAAGTTATTTATTGTTATTAATTTTAAAATTATTATTAAAGATTAGCCTTAAAGATGTTTAACAAAGGTGAATTAGAAACATTTGTTTGTATTTCACCTATGTTAAAACCAACTCATACCGACACGGTCATTCCCGCGTCATCGTGTCATCCATTGCAACATAAATTAGCCGCTTTTTATTTTTACATTTTACATATTACATTAACCGTCTGTTCCATTAAGTAAAGAAAATTATTTAAAAGAACTTAATATAATTTATCAAATTGCAGTCTCTAACGGTTTTTCAAAAAATCTTATTAATAATCTTATTAAAAAGAAACAAAAGCATGTTGTTCGCAAATCTTTGTACGCGGTTCGATCTCAAAGTGTCCGGCGATATGTGGGTAGTTTGACCTACTTAGGCTCCATATCGGAAAAAATAGCTAATACTCTTAGAAAAAACAGCGTTAACGTGGCATTTGAAACAAACAATTCGATTAGAAATATTTCTAATAATAAAGATAAGTTAAATATTAGTCAAAAATCGGGTGTTTATAAACTTGTTTCAAGTGGGTTAGACTGGTCGCAATTTCGGGACGCGCTATAAAGAGCATTTAGCCGCGTACAGAAATTACAATCCTGCTAAATTCCATTTTGCTAAATATCTCTTGAACACTGGACACAACCTAGTCAGCGACCATTCCTTTAAAGTCTTATATACTTGTAATAAGGGGCTGCGACTGTGTGTGCTGGAACAGTTGGAGATTTAAAAAAATATAATAATAATGATATCAATGCCCTGCTGAATGAACAAACAAATGGTTCTAATTCACCTTTGTTAAACATCTTTAAGGCTAATCTTTAATAATAATTTTAAAATTAATAATAATAACACTTCTAATCTTAACAGTGGTAGAGCCACGCGGCAGCTTTGCTGTTGCACGTATGGGCCGGCTCAAACCGGGGTGGTACTACGACCTCACAGAATACCGGCGTGAAGTGGAAGCTCTGCTTTTGCGTTTCGTCTGGTGAGTGAAGGTGGCCGGAGGCCCAAATCTCCCCCATCAACATGGTAGCGGAATTAAATGATAGACTACCCCAGGATGGTCGAGAATCCCTCGCTGAGCATCCACGACCACGTTTCTCCACTACTGAGCGTGGGTGCTCAGAATGCCCCGCGTATTCTGGGGGTGTGGGGGGGGGCAAAATTCCGCTCAAGAATACAACTGCTCGGGGCAACCGGAGCACCAAGCCCAAGGCGACCCCTGCCACGCTATCCGTGAATTTCTGCAATATCAGGGGACTTCACTCTAACCTAAACGCCGTCCACTACCATCTCGAGACGGCGAGGCCAGCTCCGATCTTTCTGACCGAAACGCAGGTGTCCGCTCCAGCTGATGTCTCGTATCTCTCCTACCCTAGGTACAAACTGGAACACTCCTTTGTACCTCGGGCTGGAGTTTGCGTTTACGTCAGAGAGGACATCTGTTTTGACGCCTCGGCAGTCTTGAAGGTTCGGACCTTTCCATTCTTTTGCTATGCGTAGACAGCGACGACCATCCGCGCGTCTACGGGTGCCTCTATAGATCCCACAGTTCTCACACGATCGAATGGCTACAGATTTGTTGCTACAGCAGATCCCCTCCGCAGAGATCGTGATCCTCGGCGACTTTAACGCCCATCATGCCGAATGGCTTGGTTCAGGTTTGACCAATCATGCGGGGAGATCTTTTCATGATTTTGCCTTGGCATATGATCTGACACAACTGGTTACTTCGCCTACGCGGATTCCAGATGTGGAGGATCATGCACCTTCCCTGTTGGACCTTCTGCTGACCTCTCACCCGGACGGATATCAGATTTCCGTCGACGCCCTTTAGGCTCCACGGACCATTGTCTTGTCCGGAGTGTGGTGCCACTCACGCTGAAATCGCAGTTGCATTCTGCATGCTGCCGCTGTGTTTGGCACTATAGGTCAGCCGATTGGGATGGGATGCGGTCTTTCTATGCATCCTACCTCTGGGGGCGGGTTTGCTTCTCACCGGACGATCCCAACGTTGTTGCGGATTTTGTCGCTGATGTGGTACTTCAGGGTATGGAACTTTTTATTCCTTCCTCTGTAGTGCCCATTGGAGGCAAATCTCAGCCATAGTTTGGTCGCTCCTGTAAAATAGCATCATGCTATAAGCAGGAGTGCTACCAAGCCTGGGCTGACTCATCAACGCCCCGGGATGTAAACATCGGCGCTCTAAAAAAGAAGTATAATTCCGCCTCTAGGTCCTTCAAAAGAGCCAAGGCAAAGTCAGACCACATAGGCAGAATTGGCGAGAAACTAGTTCGCCTTCCTTCTGGAAGTGCATTCCATTGCATTCCAGTGCATTCTGGTCTCTCGCCAAGGCTGTCCAGGGAAATTTCTGTCAGCCATCTCTTCCATCTCTGCACAGGGAGGACGACTCACTGGCCCATACCACAAAGGAGAATGCCGATCTGCTAGGCTCTTTCTTTGCGTCCAACTCGACCCTCGATGACGGGGGAAGTACGACGCCGACCATCCCGCGGTGTGAGTATTCCATGCCGGAAGTGCTGTTTACACAGCGCTCGGTTCGCAAGGCACTCCTCTCCCTGGACATCCACAAGTCGAGTGGGCCTGACGGAATCCCCCCAATTGTGCTGAGGACGAGTGCTTCAGAGTTGGCACCGGTTTTAACGCGTCTTTTCTGGTACTCCTACTCCCTAGGCGTAGTCCCGAAATCATGGAAGACTGCTTTCGTCCACCCGATCCCTAAAAAAGGCGACTGCTCAGACCCGTCCAACTACCGGCCTATGGCTATAACCTCCTTGTTCTCCAAAACAATGGAGTCTATTGTTAACTGCCAGCTCATGAGGTATCTTGAGGATCACCAGCTGATTAGTGATCTTCAATACGGTTTTCGCTGTGGTCGATCAGCTGGTGATCTTCTGGTCTACCTAACTCACAGATGGGCGGAGGCAGTAGAGTCCAAGACCGAATGCTTTCCGATCGGCTCGATTCACTGGTGCTGCGAAGAGATGTTGCATCTCTTTGCATTTTCTTTCGCATATACCATAGGGAGTGCTTTGAGAAATTGTTCGGATTAATCCCAGCCGCCAAATTTCGTGAACGCACTACACGGCAAACGTCCCGATACCATTCACACCATCTGGATGCTTGGCGGTCCACCACTGTACGTTTCAAAAGGAGTTTTCTTCCGTGTACGACCTCTTTGTGGAATAGTATACCACCGGAAATTTTTCCGGACCGATACGACCTGGGGACCTTCAAGAAAAGAGCTTACTCTTTTCTAAAGGGCCGGCAACGCACCTGCAATTCCCCTGGTGTTGCGGTTGATCATGGGCGGCAGTAGTCACTTAACATCAGATGAGTCGCATGCTCGTTTGCCCCCTCTTCTATATAAAAAATAACTATAATGATATCAATAAAACAATAATAAAAAATAATATTTAAAAATATTAATCATAACAATAATGATAATTAGTCGCAGGTTGTTAACTCACGGCGCGGTCACTCGCTACTTTGGTGGTGAGTGGTTGTGTCGGCGTGTATAAATAGCAGCTTTTTCGGCTCGCCGCTAACTTAGCGGTCAGCCGCCGTAGAGTCTACATCACCTGAGGATACCCCGTGTAGAGGCGAAACACGTGTCGTATTATCGTCGATGGTGTGTCTTAACTGGAATGGTGGTGTTGGCAGTAGTAGTTCTGGGACTAGTGGTGAAGGAGTTAGTGCATGCAATTGAGGGAAGGCGGGAGGTGCTCTTCAAACCATGTAAGACACATCATTGTATTTAGTTAGCAGAAGGTTGCGCAGTAGTTTATATTTTTATTATAATGGATTTCCGCAAAGTAACGCCTGATTCTATCAATTATCAAAGCTCAATATGGTGATTATATTGGTTCAAATATTTTTTAAATATGTAACTGTTATTAAATGAATTGCTCCGTTACTTACCATAAATTGAATTATAAAATATAGCACACTTTTCGCGATGTACCGTATGATTTTACGATGTTTATAGGAACCACAGACAATTTTATTTAAGAAGCAAAAAACAAAACATATATACGACATATATAAGTGTGAATAATATCAATATTTAAATATTGTTATCACATCTACAATTAGACTTACAATTATTATAAATTGAGTTTTAGTAAGTTATGCCTTTTGACACTCGGCTCATATCTGAGGTAATTGTCCGTTTTTCTCAATCGATTTGGCACAGACTATAATGTTACTAACTGCGTAGATATCGCTTTTTAATCTGACGGTTAATTTTTATTCACAAACGAATTAAATTTTGATAAGTATATTAGATATCGTTCAAAACTTACGTCCATAAGATGATTTTGATTACATTGGTCACTTACACCAATCCAATCTTACTTCAATTTCACACTTACTGTAAACATTAAAAATTACGGCTTTCAATCAAGTAGGGCTTAGTTGAGTTTTTACTTTTTTTCTCTCCACTTTTCGTTTACTGGTACTAGGCAACCACTCTCAGACTTTGACTGACTGACTTTTGTTTCAAAGTAAGTATTTATTCATAAGAGATTTCAATATCATTATTTATGATCTATAGGTATTTATACCTTATTACAAGCATTTTTGAATAAGTAATAAAACTGATCTTTAATTTTAAAGTTAAAGTACTTATGTAGAGTAGGCATTTGAATAAACGGCATGGCCCTAGTTCTTTGCTTCTTCGTGTTATTCGTTAGTAAAAACAAAACGCACTCTCTTTTTGTTTATGGTTCGCGTCTCTCTCGCAAGTTGCGAAGTAAGTGTCTTGTAATTTTTGGGTCTCCTGATCCTTTATTTTAATGGCTGCCGTATTTCGCAGTTGAATGTGCAGTTAAATCAAACATGAGTGATTATTCTTCTATGGCTACGCTTCAGAATAATAGCCAAACGGCAGGATTTGCGGCTGCTGTACAACGTGCTAGCTTGGTGAGTAGACCGACATCTGCATAATCGTTCTTTTGACATCATCGCATTGTATTTTCAACAGACAAAAATGTTATTCTTACCTTCATCAAAACTTAATTTCACATGATAATCTACCCTCTTTTTAATTACAAATGTCTATCCGACGTCATTCTTCCGACCAGTACGTTTATCTAACCTACTTTTTATTTGGCGTTTGGACGTTAAAAACTATACCTTACAACCTTACAACGTAATTACTTCGTGAGCATACTTCTTATTGTTTTAATTATATTCATAGATTGCGGCTAAAATTGGTGGAGGTGGAAGCAAGAGGCCTCTCGAAGACGGATCCGAACCGAGTGCAAAAAAATTGGCGCCAGTGGATTCAGGATTTCCTCAACAGCAACAATCAATGAGGTTTGTTAAAATACAAGTTCTATTATAACAATATTATTCGTATATTGAGTTTTAAAATTAATTACATACTTGGTAAATGATTAAATATCTATTTTGTTGTATTTCATAGTAGGTACTATTAAATTCTATAGTTTTTTTGGGTAAAAGCAAATAGCCGATTTTTTTATATTAATGCACTGAAACTCAAGAATTAATTTTTTACATTTAACATTGCCATTGGTGGACTAAAGGAGATGCTTTTACGATTAGTACTCCAATGTGTACTCGCATATAGTAAAAAAGAAGCTGTGGGTCGGTGAGCACTATTGAGAGATACATATTGAAATCAAATAATTAGTAGAAAGGAATTATGAAAATTACCATCAGTCATTTTGTGTAAAAGCTCAATTATTTTTCCCAATCACATTTTCACCTAAGTACCACCAATAACATAAGTATGAAGGTGGCCATAATCTCATAGTCTGCTTGAAACCATTTTTTTTATGTACATAATGTTTATAATACTATTAATAATCTTAGAGTAACAAAATAAAAATGTTCATTGTAAATTAATGTCATACAAAATTTAATTTTAAAAAATTCTATTGCTTCTAAAAAATTGTCATTAAATTATCAAATATTATAAGGGATCTGTGTCTCTGACACTGTATTCTAGTTGTGAAAGTGTAATATCTGGTATGGATAGGAGAGGACTATTGAGTTTAGTATAGCGCTCTATGTTAATATGTATACTTGTGGCAACATAACATGTGTTATTATTTTGTACAGTGCAACAGCGGCAGTGGCAGCAGTTGCGGCGGCAGCAGCAGCCCGTATTTCTTCAAATCCGAGTGTTCCACCAGCACCTCCAGCTGGTGGCCCGCCTAACCTTATGCAAGATCAGCAAATCAATGATTACATCCGTGTGCCTGACAAGATGGTTGGATTAAGTAGGTTTATGCTGTAACATAATATTAATCATACAAATAAAAATAAACTTTGTTATATACATGTAATAATTTAAGTTATAAGTGCTGATTTACCACTCCGCAGTGAAGGAAAACATCATGAGGAAACCTGCATGTCTGAGAAATAAAAAAATATTACCATTAAAGTTCAGCTTTAATGGTGTATGATATATTTCTCTAAGTGTTTGTTCAAATAAAACAGCAGAATGTAGGTACTGCATTTAATGTAATGGTAGAAGTCCGGAAACTTTTCTGTAATATTGGACATGAGTATTGCCATTTCAGATAAAGGGTATGTGACAGTGTGTGGTTGTCGATTTTCAAATAAAACTTTAATATTGTTTTAACCTAATATATTGACAGAGTTTCTGCTTAAGGCAACTATGTAACTTATAATGAATCTAGTCGGCGTCCTGCAATGAAAGAAAGTCTCCATCATTTATAAAATTTATATTTACTATGCTTTGTGAGCGAGCGATGGATGCATATAATTTTTAGAAAAATCGTAGAAATTATTGCACTCCGGGTTGAGAGATTAACCATTATTACAGGAGTCTCCTGGGCAATCTGGGAGGGCTGAAAACCCTAGCTGGAACCCTCATTTTTAATGATTTCTAGATTCATTTCATATGTTGGAATTTTTTATTTGTAGCTATTGGTTGGTACTGAATGTTCTATTTATTTACAAAAAAGCATTAACATGTAATCAATTTAGTCATAGGTCGTGGTGGAGAGCAAATCACGCGTCTTCAAGCGGAGTCTGGCTGCAAGATCCAAATGGCCCCAGATTCTGGTGGCCAACCTGACCGTCTGTGTACACTTACAGGTTCTAGAGAAGCCATCGCTCGTGCAAAGTAAGTATGAATTTGTGTTACATCAATATATTTTTGTCAAACTGTGATAAGTTATTGCTAAATGGATGGTCCTGAATTGGTAATTGTATTTAGAGTATACATATAATATGGAATTAATTTTACAACATTGCTTTTTCCCATCATTAATATATTCTTTTTTAGTGTTGTAGTTACAATAATGGTTGTGTTGTGATGATTAATAATTTAAATTGATTTAAACAGAGACCTGGTGAACCAGATTGTGAACCATCGCGGCCGAGAGAATGCTCCTCAGTATCCTGATAACCAAGGCCCCGGCGGCAACGGCGGTGGTGGTGGTGGCGGTGGTCCGCCCATGCCTAGACCCGGCGGCGGACTTGCTATTACGGTATGCATTTTATAGGATTCTGCTGTGGTGCCAGAAATCTGTACAATTTATAAAATTAGTAAAAATTTTGGAATATGTTTTTAGTCACAATTTTAGGATGAGAAAATTATGGTAATGTATATTATCTATTTTGGAATCTTTCTTTAATGAGCCACACTACAGCTATGTTATGGTTGTAGTGTGAATGGGTTGGCTTGATCGGGGAAGGTTTATACTCTCACAAAATACCCATGTTAAAGCCAACTTAAAGCTGCTATGTTTCGTACAGTGAGTTTATTATATATGGAGACCATTTTTATTGGAAGTCCATCTTAATTCTCCAGGGTGACAACACATCTGAATTTTGATTCTTAATCTATATACATATAAATGAAATTGGAATGCCTATTTGTATTATAGAAATAATTGGCTTCTATTAAGCTCTGGGGGTTATTAGAATTCTATTAAGACTGACTCTCTGACTGCCTCTGTCCTGGCCAATTTTTAGAAAGGCCGAGAAGATTGCAATGAAACTTTCATTAACATATAGAAAGCAATGGCAGCAGTCATCTATGATTTTTCCAATATTATATAGCTTTCATTAAAAAAAGTCAATTGTCTTTGATTATACCCAAAGACATATAAGTATGTAGTAGTAATAGACCGGACATCAGCAACAAATTGCGTCTGTAACTTTTGTCCTATAGGATGTATCTCCGATTTTTGTCATTTAATCTGAGTGACATCACCAAGGTAATGCCGTTTAAAAAAAAATATTTCTAAAGACAATATGCCTGATTGTGCTTTAAAGTATAAATATAAGCAAGTCACAATATGGAGCAAAAAATGAACATGATTTCAGTTTATTATCCTAAGAATAATGTATATTTAACAAATAATCTTTAAATTTTGTTATTTCTGGTAGATTGTTCTGGAAGAAAGAAAAATTATTGTAATAAGTGCCCTCTGCTATCCAGTAACACCACTATTTATTTACAAATATGTTAGTAATTGACGACGTGACTAAAACCGGCTTTTACCTTATATTTAGAAGCGTCACCTAATGGGATTTTTTTTCAAATTTTTTTTATTATGTGCGAGCAGCTATGCAGGGCTAGGGAAAGAGACCAGCATCACTGCGATCTATAAGATCTATAGTGATCGCTGCTATAGCTATAGTTCACAGCTAAGCCTTATGTCTTCAATGAGTAGAAAGAGTTGCTTAGCCGTCAGCAATTTCACTTCATCTGGGCAGAACCTACCTAATGGGAAAATACTAAATGGGAAATAGCTAAAATGTTTTCCAAATAAATATTCAGCGTAGTATTGTTATTTTTCGCTAGAGTGCTTAACACACGCGCGTGCTCACAGTTTTTGTATGCAAATTTTTCAAATGTCCGCTCTATAGTTTAAATCTCTTTGATTATACCAAATCTTAATGATGCCAAATAAATAGATCCCACCCAGGCGAAGCTGGGGTGGTTGCTAAGTTTTATCTAAATATGAATAAAAATGATGTAGATATCTACAGCATCCATTCACTATCAAATTCAAATTCTTTCATTTGCCAGAATGTAAGGTGTACAATAAAGTATAATCTTTCTCATGGCCCATTTACATACTACCACTACATAATTATGGTGAACAGTTATTCTATTGGTATATAATATTTAGCATTTTTTTTAAAACAAGAGGAACTCGGTTGTTATAATTTCAATTCAAAAATATCAGATTCTGTAATAATTGTACTTAATTGTTAATGTCCATACTTCCATGTTTATTCACCATACATTAATTATTAGTTGTATACCAATATTAATGATGACTGATTTATTTTTCAAAATAAGACAAAAATTCATTGTGGTTGTAAACACATTTGTTTTAACCAATATGTCAACTATTTTTTAAACACTGTTAAAGGTAAGTCTTTAAAGGGGATGGGTAATTTGTTATATACCTTTATTGCATAAGAGTTCCTTATACACAATTTGAGCTTGCATTGCGGTAAATAGAGCTTATGTTTATATCTCAGGGCTACATTACATATAGTTACATCAATAAGATTTTCAAAGTGTTCGGAATGTTGTTTTACAAATAGGCATAATTCTTTAATGTACAAGCATATTAATGTAAAGATATGGTACTTTTTAAACCAGGCTCCATATATTACATGCACACATTGGGCAGAAAAAAGCGCTAGGAAGCGGTTGTAAGCAAAATGGCGAAACTATACAGTTTTCGGTCAGGTCACGTTTGCTAACTTCAGTAGCGCTGACACATTCTGCCATTTTGCTTATTTTTTTTTGTTTGTTTTGAATTAGAGTTTATAAGTTGTTTCGTGCAATTAGTTTCAAGTAATATAATGACATGAATAAATGTATTATATATGTTATTAAAAATGCATGATTATAAGTTTTTAATATGAATACTTTACAAACACATATTTAAATTAGGTTAGGTTCCCCGGTTAAAGCTAACTTCGTGTCCCACAAGAAAATAGCTAACAGACAGCGCTCTTACGATCGTCATTTTGCTTACAAGCGCTTCCTAACGCTTTTTTCTGCCAAACGCAGCCATTTCTTTTGTACTAGAGTACAAAAGATATGTGTGCATGCAATCTTTTATTCTATTCTTTTACAATATATTAATACCTTAATTAATTCTGAAATTATTGATAGTAGGATTGGCCAATATGCACATTTTTGTAGCCAATTTTTAATAAAATGAATGTATTATTAATTTAAAGTATACTTACCAAAAATAAATTCCCAATGGACCCAAAAGGAACTTGCTTTCTGTTTTTTCTTCTAATCAAGCTTGGCAGCTTATCAAGAATAAACTTCATAGTATGCAATCATCCAGACTTTAATTGCTTGATATTGAAACAAAATGGTATGAGGAAACTTGCTGCACTATAACTCTTGGAAAGAAACTTGTAGGAAAACCTAGCCTATCTGTGTACTGTGAAACTGTGTAACATATTCAGACCACGTATTGCAAAATTGAAATATTAATGTATTTTTTTTTGCTCAATAGGATGAAATTATGCTTCCTGGCCCTAAAGTTGGGCTCATTATAGGAAAAAATGGCAAGACCATCAAACAACTTCAAGAACAATCCGGTGCTAAAATGGTTGTTATCCAAGATGGACCCAATACTGAGTATGTAAGTATGATTGAGAATCTGCATTTACAGCACTAATATAATATCATGTCATGCAACAATTATTTTTACTAATTTAAATCATTGTAGCAGTTATGTTTAGTTATAACCTATTCCAATTCCTAATTTTCAGTACATTGCAGATTGCAGAAAATATAAAGTAAAAATTAAATGAGACAATAAATTTGGTTTTTAATGTTTAGTATTCTAATATTACAAGATGGTGTGTAAACGACCATTTATTTTGACAAAGCAGTCAAAATTATAAAGATATCGAAATTAATTATTATCATTTACCACATAAATGATAATATTATATACAATGTGAAGGAAAACTTCGCGAGTAAACATACATGTCTAACAAATAAATAAAAAAGTTCAAAGACAGTCAGAAGTCTACGAACACGCATTCGGACAGTGCGGCGCAATTTTCCTATTCCTAAAAATAGAAAGATAAAATAGGAGCAGTAGTAGTAACTTAGTAACGTAGTAATAGGCTGTAACTTTTATTATTATTATTATTTCCCGTGCAGTGGAGAATCCACTAAGCCATATCGCTCCTTGCGTGTCGTAAGATGCGAGAGGGGGAAGGAAGAGATGATAGTAGCATAATCTTGATAACAACTTATAAATAATGAAAACTGTGGTTGCGAATTCGCCTCCCAATAGTGCCAATTATGGCAAATATTCACCTTTTGTTTCATCCATCCACCCATCCATTTCAGCCTATTTAAATAAACTGCTGAACATAGGGCGTACATACCTTACATAGATTACCTTATGAGGGATGATGTAAAATTTCATAGTTGCAACGCTTGGCAAGTGGATGGGAAACCACATTTACTTATTATTTGTAAGTTGTTATCAGGATGATGCTACTGTCATGTCCCATTTCATTCTCCCTCTGTTGCCGCTTAAGACTCCCTCAGGACGATATGTTGTAGTGGATATTCTTACACCGCCACTATATGGTAACTTTGATTAAACTTCATTTTATTGTAAATTTCTGAAACTAAGTAAAGTCTTTATCCTCCAAATATCCTCCAAATAACTTTATTACAGATAAGTTTGTACGTGGTAGAGCCATGCTGCAGTTATATTAGAAGTATAGTTGTAGCTCGAATCGGTCGGCTCGACCGGGGAGGGACCACGCTCTCACAGAATACCAGCGTGAAATTTTCGTAATTGAGGATTGATGTAGATGACTATGGGCCACAGAAACCACTTACCATCAGGTGGACTGTGTGCTCGTTTGTCACCCTATCCTATAAAAAAAACCATATATTTGAAATTATTAGATTACCAGATTACCATATATTTGAAATTATTAGATATGACACGCGACATGAAAGTAGTTATTGTGAGATAACAATAATAGTTAGACATATGGTATTGCAGACTTTTATGTAGATATTGATGTCTCCCATAAAACTGTAGCACATCACTTTGCTCTATTGTCAATAGTTTCCGCAGCGTACGCGATTAAAGGTTTTTTTTCACACCTTGGGTTACATTAACGAAGTTTTCATACGGATCCCTAAATTTTTTGAAAACGTTCTATCGCCTATGTTCATCAGGAATAATGTAGGATTCTAATGGTGAAAGAATTTTTCAAATCGGTTCAGTAGTTTCAGAGCCTATTCAATTCAAACAAACAAACAAATCTTTTCTCTTTATAATATTAGTGTAGATTACCATATATTTGAAATTATTAGATTATTACATATATTTAATGATGTTTTTTTGTGTATATTTAAAACTTGAAAGATTAATTGCTTTCTCTATGTAGGAGAAACCATTGCGCATCTCAGGCGATCCATCAAAGGTAGAGCACGCAAAGCAGTTAGTATATGAACTGCTGGCAGACAAGGATATGCAGCAGGGTGGTCCTAGACCGCAATATGAAGATGGTTATTCCCAAGATCAGGGCAATGGAATTGGTACCAATTCTACTGAGGTAACTATGATGGGATTTTATTACAATAAAATAATTCACTAGAGATTTTAAGTTCATCTTTAAGAGGGAATACAACCTCAAATGTCTTAGCAAGATCCTCCGTTATACCGAAAATATTGCAGCATTAATTTTGAAATAAATATATGATAAAGTTGAGGATTAATGTTAAGTACTATGTTAGACGAAAACATAATTCTGTAAAATTTGAACCGGCGGCAGGAAACAAGCTTCATGACGCCGATAGTTTAGGTAATTACTTTTTACAGTAAAAATAATGGTAATTTTAAAAAATAAAAAACATAAGCCCTGCTTTATAGTTAGTTCAGTTAGCATGCAAAGTTTCATGATCTTATGTAAAGTATTTTATGAATAACAGCGGTTTATTGTTCAGTTTGGAGGTAACTGGATTTTTTCTATCGAGAAAATTTTACGGAATCATGTTTTCGTCAAACATAGTACTTAACATTAATCCTCAACTTTACCATATGTTTAATACAAAATTAATGCTGCAATATTTTCGGTATAACGGAGGATCTTGCTAAGCCATTTGAGGTTGTATTTCTCCGGTTTATAATGGGTGTACATTAAATACTAACAATGTTGTAAAATTAGCTATTAACAAATTAGTAATAAGTTATTGAATATGCTACTATAAATGACGAAATATAACTAGTGTTATTTCAAAATATTTATCATACACCTAGCATGTACAAGTAATGCTATATCTATATTGCTTTAACATAAATAAACAAAAAATATTACTATTTAAATATATATTTAAAGCAACATTTTTAAATGAATACAAAATGTTTACACAGATTTCTAAAACCAGGCGCATTTTCCTATATCTCATCAGGTGCTTGTACCAAAAGTAGCAGTGGGTGTCGTGATAGGTAGAGGTGGTGACATGATCAAGAAAATCCAGGCCGAAACTGGCTGCAGAGTGCAGTTTCACCAGGAAAGGGATGATGGCCCAGGAGATAAAAGGTATAATGAATATACATTGTTCTTATTCTGTTACCTAAAATATATAATATTAGATGGTGTTTAAAAACTTGAAATTTCTTAGATGCTACCTGCAAGGCAAACCTCATCAAGTGGACCAGGCGAGGCAAATGATCGAAGATCTCATTGCCAGTGTTAATGTAAGTATCATCACTATTCACAGATTTTATTTATAGAAAATATAAACAGCCTTTTAAAGAAACATTTTTTTAAATAACAAGACTGTCTTGTTATTTAGTGATATATAAAGATGTTTAGTAAAGGTTCTAATTGAATTGAAATGAAAAACAAGGTAATAAGTATAATATAGTTAATACTAGCTGTACCCCGCGGTTTCACCCGCGTATATCACGCGTCTCTGCCGCGTGACATGATATGACACCTCGCTCATTTATTTCAATCATTTTAGCTAAAAAATTAGCAAAATTAATGGAGTATCTATCGGCATATACACGTTATACAGAAAATTTAAATTTTATCCACTCATATCACACCTTGGGTTACATTAACGAAGTTTTCATACGGATCCCTAAATTTTTTGAAAACGTTCTATCGCCTATGTTCATCAGGAATAATGTAGGATTCTAATGGTGAAAGAATTTTTCAAATCGGTTCAGTAGTTTCAGAGCCTATTCAATTCAAACAAACAAACAAACAAACAAATCTTTCCTCTTTATAATATTATAGTTAATATGATATATTTTTGTACTATATCAATGAACACATAGAAGATACATATAGACAAAATATGTCATATTAACTTAATTTCTTCATTCTATTTAAAAATGAATGAAACTTAATATGTTACTTTGCTTGTTAGTCTCTTTTATTCAGGATATAAAAAAGTTCCAAAAATATATATTAAATTTAGGCCGAAAACTAAATGAAAAGCATATGTTTACCTGTAAATGAGCAAAACACTATTTTCGTTACAAAAATACATCATACAACAATAAATTTCGATGATATAAAAATAAAACAAACTCCAATGTAATGAAAGCCTTTCCATTCGATTAGAAACCTGCAATATTTTGGTATTTTTAAGACTTAAGAAAATTCGTGTTATCTCTATGGCGTACATTACGCGCTCATGCAGGCGTCAATCACTACATTACACGGTAGGTTCTTCGTCAAACACAACCGTGATTGTTGTAAAACTGACAGCCTGCATGAGCGTGTAATGTACGACATAGAGATAACCGGAATTTTCTTACGTCTATAGTTATAAATATAGCAATATTACTAAAAATAAGAAACAAATAAATAACTAATTTTGAAAATGGTGCATATTCTAAAAATTAAGTCAAAACTTAGCTAATACCAAATAGGCTTTTGGCAATTAGAATAGACAGACTAAATATACAGGGTTATTTAGCAATAACCAGCCAAACTTGCAGAGAAGGTTCAGCATTAGCAATATAGGCAATAACTAAGATAAATCAATTTAAAAAATCAAAACACTCTGTCCTTTTTATTTTTTAAATTCAAAATGCGTGGTAATGCATTATTTTAACTGATTTTACTGCGCACACATGCATTCGTAAGAATCGATCGGTAGGCAAAAACGTTGTTGCCCATAAATCACATTCAATTTGGGATAATTTCAAATAAAAGTAGAACCTTATTTACTCGTATTTTCAAAAACTGCAGTAACGATATATCAGTATTTATATATTTGAACTTACGTTTAAATGGGCTACTCTTGGGAAAATAACCCTGTATAGTAATAGGTGTAATTATTAAAATAAAATAAGTGCACTATTGTCATGGGACAATGTGAACTTATTGCTACAACAGCGTCGAGAGCAGGACGCGCGCGGAGGGCGCATGCGTGGTGGTGGTGGTGGCGGCGGCGGTGGCGGCCCGCCACGCAACGGCGACCGCGAGCGTGACTACCAGTGGCAAGAGCAGCAGCCAGAGGTGCGCGTCTCCTTCACTGTCTCCAACGTCAAGTGCGGACTCATCATCGGCAGGGGTATGTAACCTCTTCTTTAAATTATTATTTTATTTGGTTAAATTTTTATACCTGTATAGATTGACAATTGCTCGGTAATCTTTTAGTTGTTGTCCGATCGGTAATCTTTGAATTGTTATCAGGAAGATGTTATAACCCCACTTTTGTTTCATTTCCCTCTGTCGCTTAGTAGTAGTTAGTTCCGGGTAGTAGATTCTTTTACGCCGGTAATACACAGCGACATATTTAATACAATACTAATTGACGTTACTATTTATTACCGACTCTATATCATAATGTCCCTTTAAGTACAGCCGGATTAAAAAAATAGTATCATAGTTTTCTGAAATACTATTCTATGATTAGCAGACATAATTTTAGAAGTAGCTTTGTAGCTTCTTCATATTTCTGTATAGATTGCTTTGTTAGTTAATTTAAACTTTTCAGGATACTTTGAAGTTTAGTAATATTTTTAAGGATTTGGACAATAACAAATCATACATATAACATTAACATTATACTTGATTTGTTTAAGAAACCTAAGAATTATGAGAGAACAGAAGAATATACATAGACCAATAATTAAAAACTTTTATTTTTAATTATTGGTCTATGTATATTCTTTTGTTAAATGTGACAAAATATCTGTAGTGAATTTATTTTGTCTGTTATCTTATTTTTACATAATAAATTGTTGATTGTGAAAATGTTTTCCACCTCTGACCATGGACAAGAAACAGTTCATTCCCAGAAAATTTAATTTTTACTTAACTACATAGTTAGGGAAAACTTGGGTACTTAAAGAATATGATGGTTGTTAATAGATAGGTCATGGACCAAAAATTTCAAGAAATAAGAATATTTGGTCTTTGTATAATTTATGATATGATTGTTTTATCATTAACTAACGTAATATATACTTATTTATCTACTATTTATGCACACTTATATAGGTATAGTATGTTTAAATCAAAATGATGTTCACCAAATTTTGCCTGGAAGAGAACGCTGTTTAGCGATAAGCTCACTTAATTATACTTAAATTTATAAATTAAAGTTTGGTCTGTGTTATTGTAATATGTGGCATTAAACGGTATAAATAAATGAATTACTGCCTCGTGGTCTAGTGGTTGTAGTAGTGTGACTGCTGATCATGTTGGTCCTGCGCCTGATCTCTCTTCGGCCGTGTCGGTTTACCGTCCCATCGGATTATGAGAGTGAGGGAATAGAGAGTGCACCTGTGCGCATACAATTGGGCACTATAATCCAGTCCCGCGCCGATGGGTAGCCTCCGTTAAGGCAGACCGCCGTTGCCGAAATTCGACCTGGAGCACATTATTATTATGAAATAAATAAAATAAAGTTTTTATTATTACATAGAGACTCATATTTCTGTGGCTTAGGTGGTGAAGTGATCAAGCAGATAAACGCGCAGTCCGGCGCCCACTGCGAGCTGGACAGGCGCGCGCAGGCCAACGATCGGAACAACCGCACTTTCATCATCCGCGGCCACCCCGATGCAGTTGAACATTGCAAACGCATTATTATGGAAAAAGTTGGAATGGTGAGTTTATATACATATTATTGTGTACATGTCACAGTCCAATGAATTAACAACTTTTTTATTTCATGCAGTGTACTTCTATTTATAAAAAGATAGCTTTTGCTAGTGATCACAAGCTTTGGATGTGTCTATGTAAACCTCTTATAATACAGGAGAAAATTCTATTGTGGGGGTAACATATTTTAAATAAAAAAAATTGATGGTCTTTATTTTTTTTAAGGGATAAGATGTCTTGTGGTGTCACAGCCACTTTGACTTAAAGAGATAGAGAGAGCACGATACTTAACGGCATTTTAAAATTGAGTAGCGTTTGAGTATTTTTGGGCATAAGGATCATAGCAGCCACTGTGTCCGTTTGTAATCATTATCCAATACCTTTAAACAAGCAATTCTTGTATATATATAATCGGAATCTCTGAAACGGTTCTACCGAGTTTCATGAAATTTAGTTTCAGGGGCAATAAATCGATCTAACTTGGACTCATTTTTAGAAAATGTCGTTTTATCCATGTTTTAGACAATGAAAAACTGCTACAATATCAATAGAATACGAAAGTAAATTTTGCCAATGCCTACACAAATAAGGCTATAACAGCTTAAATGGGATCGCGGGCGGTGCTGAATTCATAGAACACCGGTTCGAGACCAAATATCTAAGGTCTGACTCTTTTTTCCTTCTTTTGTGAGAAAATATACCTATTAAAACAAGAAAAATAATGACCGAGAGAAGATCGAAAAATTTCATTCATAATTCATCAGTATGTAATTTGTATCTAAATATAATTTACAAAAAACACGATTTCTAAAAAAATACCGAGCAAAGCTCGGTCATCCAGGTACTTTATATTGATATATGTGTGCGTGTGTATTAATGCGTATATGTTGTGGCAGCCGGTGAACTTCGTGGCGGAGGGCAATGGAGGCGGCAACGGTGGCGCGGGTAACGCGGGAGCTGGTGCGGGCGGGGACATGTACGGGGGCGCGGCGCCGCCCGGCCCGCCCGCCTGGGGCTACAACCCGCACTGGCACCAGCCCGCGCAGCAGCAGCAACCTCAGGTTCTTTATTGTTTTATTTGTATACACTTATACTTCTTTTTCTATTCCGGAGAATCAAGGTATCCATCACTTTTTCTGGCACCAGGACATTACCAATTTGAAATGAGGTGATATATTTAACAGATTTCATAGCTGGCAAGTTAATTTGTAGATAAATGTAAGGAATCACGTTTCTTTACATAATATTAATTATATTTTGTATTAACTAAATAATAACCTCTCTCGCCCCCTTTACATCCATATACCCAAACATACATGCTTGTTGATTAATGGTATTTTTAATCTGGCCCATCTTCAATTTATAGCCAATTTGCTTACGTGGTGGAGATATGCTGCAACTATATTATGATTGTGATATGAATGGGTTGACTCGACATGAGTAAGACCACACTCTCACAGAATACCAGCTTAAAATAGCAGCTTAATGCTGCTGTGTTTCATATAGTGAGTGTAAAAACCGAAAACCCTTTTACTGGAAGCGAGGCATTCACCTCAATCCTCAGGGGTGACGACGCATCTGCATATTGATTCTTAATAGAAAATAAATGTAGATATCTATGAGTCATAGCATCCACTTACAATCAGGTGAACTGTGTTCTCGTTTGTCAGCCTTACGCCATAGGGAAATTGAAACAGGCGATGGACGGTAGCATTTTCCGTTCAATATTAAAGCTGCGGATGACAACCCGCTAGCCAAGTGTGTCAACTATGGCAAAATCCCGCCTATGAGGCAAGGTGGAGGCGTGTGTTCAGCGGTGGACTTGGACAATCTTAAATTAATCCATTATCGATGACAGCTTATAAAAGTCCACTGCTACGCATCGGCCCTCAGATTGTCTCATAGCGATGATTTCGCCATAGTTGACACACTTGGCTAGCGGGTTGTCATCCGCAGTTTTTAGTAATTTGAGTTATTATTAGGAAGATGCTGCTGCCTGTCTCCAGTTACAGTTTCTCTCTGTCACCTCTTACGACACCCATGAAACGATATGGAGGTGGTGGATATTCTTACACAGCCACTTCACATTTTAAATTAATGTCAGTTTCACAACAATATTGCTACATTAATAGATTAATGCACGTCTATTGTGGTTCCTATTTGAATCGACAGATATAATTTATCTCGTAATGTATCTATTCTATAACATAAAAATAATACAATAAATATATTCTATAGAATGTTATTGCTTTAACTGTCACAAGCATCATATTATGAAAAAAAAACTAGATTCGTTTTTTATCTGAAATAACCTTGTTTTATACAGCAACAAGTAAACATAAATCCAGTAACGGGTCAGCCTGACTACTCACGGCAATGGATCGACTACTATCGCTCACTGGGACTAATGCAAGAAGCTGAAGCTGTTGAACAACAAGCCAAGCAACAGCAGCAACAAGGTAAATACAACTAAAATAATTATTTAATCAACTGTAATTGTTGAATTCCATATTTTTGATGCATTAGGGTAGTCTAGTGTATGTGTGTGGTTTATTTCCTCACTAGTCGGTGTTCACAGTCACCAATGCCTATAGGCGATAACTTCAGAATGAAGATTGTGCATGGACAAACATCACAATATCGTATTGTATATTACAAAAATCTGCAGAGTTCATGTCGGGCCCCACACAATGTAGGGTTCCACAGTTGTCCATCACAATATATGAATTTTGAAGGGAGATTTCTTGCTACTAAAAGTATATTGAATGTATTCCCGGTATGACCAAAAATAGAATGATGGTAAATAGAGTTATAAGGAGTGGTATTTAAAACATTAAAATAACAGTTCGTTTTTGAAAATACAATAAACTACAAAAATAATAAAAATAATACAAAAAAAATACAATTTACATCAAATCAGTCGCATGCTAAGTCCGTCCAAAAATAGTCTTAGTTCCCTATCTATCTGTCAGTTCCTGGTAGTGACCTAAGACATACATGACCATAACAAACTTACCCGTAAACCACCACCATCTTGAGGGTCACTCGCATATACGAGTAGTACCACAAATGAAACTGTAAGCCTGTAATAATTACTAACTAAAACACAAGCTAAGAAAATTTACGGAATCGGAATTTTTAAGAATAAACACGTACATTTGTGAGCTCAGTGGATATTACAAAAAGCAGTGCAAAACAGTTATACTGAAGTATATGATAGTTCGTTTACTAAGTTTCAACGAAAAGTTACAATCTAATCTATAACATCTAACCTAAATTTGCAATTCATCCACCATATTTAATTTGATAAATTCATATACTCAGTAATCGAAGTACCAACCTAACAATAATAATTAGTGACACTGACAGCTTTCAACATAGTGTAAAGCATGAAGGTTAGAGAACAGGAGAACGATAGCCGTAGAAAATAGTGTCCCAGAAATATGGACACCATAAGTGAGGCGCTGCGATCGCTAAGTTCGGTCAATAAAAGTCATTTTCAGTCTATTTTTCCGATCAGATGCTAAACCGCTTGCACATCCACGCACAATAAAATATTTCTCCATTTTTTTAATTTTATTTTTGTCAAAAATTACAAAATTACGGAGCATGAAAGTTTTCTCACCAATTCTGCGGAGAAAATTTGTACATTATTCAACTAACTTCATCTACTTGTACTCATAAACAGCTAACTTCGCAGTCACTACTCACCGACGTCAGCGCCGCTATACATTCTACAATTTTCAAGGACAGGCGGGCTATGCTTTAGTATGTAGTGATCGTTCTCCTGTTCTCTAACCTCCGTGGTGTACAGTTGCTAATCAAAGGAAATACTAAAGTTACCATATTAAAACACGCAATAAAAGTATTACCTTAATAAACCTCCAAATATCTCGAAAAGTGGACATAAATAGAACTGTTGTTATCAAAACTAGGAGAAAAACTAAATCAACAAACCCTGGAAGGAAATAAAAACCTAAAAATGAAAGTCCAGTTTTAATAACTGGAAGAAAAAATCAATGTTCTGGTAAGAAACAAACGAAAGAGTAATTTATTTTCTTTGGCATTTAAGAAAATGTGAAAAGAGAACATGAACTTATAGACTATAAATAAAAGAAATCATAGTAGAATCAGGAACACACATGGATTGACAAGAAATAAGCAATTTTACTTCTAATACAAAACGTCCCATTGTAGTTTCTCTAATGACCTTATGGAAAAAAACACCTGGTACTAAGAAACCTATTCCTATTCCAGTTAGAGGCAATGTTAAATTTTTGGGAGTTATCCTTGATTCGAAATTGGCCTTCGGTCCATACATTGAATATATAACAAAAATGCGAAAAAAAAACATAAATATTCTTCGGTCTTTGTCTGGTGTTTCGTGGGGTCCCATCCTTTTTCTCAGAAATTACTGTACAATGCTTTAATACGAAGCCACAATGACTATGGATGTTGGAGCCTTGCAATAAATCATCCCTGAAAGTAATAGAGAAAATTCAATCGAAATGCCTTCGCAGGGGCAATGAAATCCTCACCAATAAATGTTTTTCAGGTTGAGTGCGTAGATCCTCCTATAAGCTTAAGAAGGCATTACCTTTCAGACAGATTCTTATTTAAGATCTGCCAGCTTTCAGATTATCCCCTAATTCCTAAATTGCATCTTCTTTCAGAGTATATCTCATCTGACTGATACTGTCCCATAAGGACTCTCCCTGCTTGTTTAGAAGTTTTGTAATTTTTCTTCAGCTTCCTTACCCAATCTTTCAATGTAAAATAAATCCACTCTTTGATGTTCCTTACGAGGCTATTGTTTACCAACCCGACATTCATCTAGATCTAGGTATAGAAAAGGATTCTCCAATGGCAAATTTGAAATAAAAGAAATTATAGAAAACAACTTTAAAGATTGGACTGTCATGTATACAGACGCTTCAAAACAGTCTGATGAAGACTATACTGGAGCTGCTGTTTGGATTCCTAAGTTCAAAATCATTCTTAAATTTAAATGCCCCTCACTATCCTCCACTTGTACCGGTGAAGCAACTGCAATCAGTGAAGCTTTGTTATATGTTGAGTCACATAATCTTAATAAAACAGTTATTTTCACAGATTCCAAAAGTTGTTTGTTAGCTATTTTGTCCAATCAATTCCATAACAAACATAAATTTCCACTAATTCTTAAAATAAAAAATACCCTATTCAGATGCCATCTTAAAGGAATCCATGTTTCAGTGGCCTGGATTCCAGACCACAGTGGTATCCATGGTAACGAAACAGCTGATGTACTCGCTAAAAATGCAATTGCTAATGGCATTCTACAAAATTTAATTTACTCACATGACCTAATTTTGCTAGCTAAAAGGAAACTGAATGAAAATTGGAATAAATTATGGGAAGTTTGCAAAAATGTTAAAGGTAAGCACTATGCTGCCATCCAAGAGGTTATTCCTCCCAAGCCCTGGTTCTTTAAATTTAACAAAGCAAATAAACATGCAACTTCAATCATTTGTATATTAAGAATTGGACATGCTTGTACACATGCACATCTGGCATAAATCAGAGTAAGGGATAGCTCATTGTGTGAATGTGGCTTAGATGAAGGTTCCACAAACCATATTTTTTTCAACTGTCCCAAATTATCCTCCTCCCTTTATGATTACCTTCCTCCTTATATTCCTCGACCTATAGATTTTAATTCTCTTTTAACATATACCAGTACTCCTTTTGTGTATATTTTATGTGATTTTATTAATACTAATAATATGAAATTTTAAATCCTTGTCACGTTTAACATACTGGTAAGTCTTAACACATGTGTTGTCATATTTGTTCTAGGTAATTCAACAAATAGATTTGTCAAAATTCTCGGAGGAAAACTGAATCTTTGTATTATCACAGACTCTTATTGTAATTAAACTCATAAGCTTTCATTTTCCACTCAATACGTCATTAGCGAATTTTATCAAACCGCCACAAAAGAAAGAAAAAGAGAGCGTGATCCTTCCCCGGTCGAGCCGACCCATTCGTGCTACAAATCTACTACTAACATAACTGCAGCATGGCTCTACCACGTATAAATATTCTTAAAAAAAATAAACTGATTAGACCTAACTTAGATTTACAACTATAATATACCGGCTGCGTAGTTCTACCACAACAAAAGGAAGAGCCGTTATGAAAGATAAGGAGTATAAATACCTTGCGCAATAATAATAATCTCGAAATAATCATTTGGTAAGAACAGGTACTACCATAGCAGAGTATTATATGCTGGCTCAATGCGGTCGGTAATTTTAGGAATAATGAAGGTTGCCGATGCAAGAGTACAGTACGCACGCACACACAGACACACACATGCGTACATACGTATTATCACAGCAGGTTGATATACAAGAAATGTGGTAATTTTTTACGTGGTAGAGCCATACTGCAGTTATATTAGTAGTATACTGGTAGCACGAATGGGTCGGCTCGACTGGGGAAGGACCACGTTCTCACAGAATACCAGCGTCAAATAGTAGCTTAATGCTGCTGTGTTTCGTATGGCGAGTGTAGAGAACCGGAGACCCTTTTTACTGGGAACAAGGCATTCCATCTTAGTCCTCACGGATGACAACGCATCTGCATTTTGATTCGTAATCGAGGATAGATGATGTCTATGGGCCACAGCAACCACTTACCATCATACTAGCGTAAAATAGCAGTTTAATGCTGCTGTTTTATATTTAAAGTTTTCATAGAGGATAGGTGTAGATGTCTGTGAGAATCACCCCTTTATAAGGTTATATGAATGTGAATCTGTTGCAGCGGCTGCGAGCGCGGCTCCGAGCAGCACGCCGGCGGCCGCGGGCGCGGGCGCGGGAGCGGGCGCAGCGGCGGGCGCTGCGGGCGCGGGTGCGGGCGCGGGCGGCGCCGACTACAGCGCGCAGTGGGCCGAGTACTACCGCAGCATCGGCAAGATCAAGGAGGCCGAGGCCATCGAGGCGCAGATCAAACTCAAGGTATGCCCTCGCCAATGCAGGAAGGAGTAAAACAACATTTTTTCCTTCTTTTTTTTTATAACGTAGCCTATCACAGTGAAACCTGGTTAATTGGGATCTCGAGACCAAGGATTTTGTACCATTTAAAGAAGTTTTCATTTATCCAGTTTTCCAATTGGCCAGGTTTAAAATTTAGTTTTCTCATTTACAGAGGCCCCCGCTTATAGAGGTCGAAATGTACCTTTATTCCATTTATAAACGTGAAAATGATAATGAAGATGCATATTTTTTGGTGTTATGAATTAAGTGTAGGTATGTATGTATTTATTCTGAGAGGGAAACCCTCTCAAAAATGCCTGTGCCCAGCAGTGGAACGTATATAGGCTGTAATTTTTTTCTTTACTTTATGTATTTATTATAAAAAAAAAACAATACAATATAGTAAACCTGTCTCAATCTGACAAATTGTCTCACTTATATAGTGATTGAGCTCCAGAGTCCCAATTATAGAGGTAAACATCGAAAAAATCCTAGAAATCAAATCTTATTTAACCAGGTTCGAAAAGTCCCATTAACCTCTCAACTGTCAAAAATATGGTCCTTCTAAAGGTCGCTATTAAAAGAGTACGCGTCTGTCCACAACCTTTAGAAGGTTGCAATTTACTTATAAACTTCAGACACGAAACAGCCGTAGTAAATGTATCTGTATCTCCCTCTAACTCGTACAACATTGTTTTAATATCATTAACCTACTTATCTCTGTATGGATTTGTCGCTATTAAAGTACAAAATGTGCCTTTTTGTGCCTGTTTCGGGTCATCTTAAGTGGCCCACATTATTGTCGAGCTTGTGGTGTAAAAAAAATGTAGTAAGAGTTGTGTTTTTTTTTATTATTTATTGTAAAGTGTATTTATCTCATTGTAAATTAAGTAAATGTTTATTGAAATAATTGTTTTTTTTTCTTTTACATTTTTTATTCACCAAACTGGAAAAAAATCGCTTTTAGCATTTTTACCATGGAATTTAGAAAATATAAAAAAGGTGAATGTACACATTTACACACATTCTATTAGCTTACTTAACAATAATTCTAACAACATATTATTTTATAGTTTCCATGCATAATTATTGAGATATTTCCATTTTAATGACACGCGCCACGTATGCAATAGGTCACTCATTTAGGGTTTGACAGATGCGCCAAAGCGACCATTTGGACTGGGACAGTTGAGAGGATAACGGAGGTAATTCGATGAAAAAGTGCAGGTACCTTATTGTCGTTCTGAATGATAGAGGTTTCTCACTTATCCAGTTCCCACTTAACCAGGTTTCACTGTACTAGCATCCTACACTAGGCTTTGCTCCTGTATCATCGGTATGGTTTATATAACCAATAAAAAAATAAATTGCTAATCTTTATTTGTTTAAATTTTTTTACTATGTTAAGATTCGTTTTCTGTCCAGGAGTCTGTTAAAATAGATAATAAGTGAACCCTCTTATTCTGTCGCCTTGCAGCAATATATGCACTAAGGTAAAGGCAAGGGTTGCAGGCCGTGAGTCCTTCCATCTTTGCCCTCAGACGACAACGCATGTAACTTTCTTTGTTTGATGTTAGTGCAAATGCCTATCGGCTACTGTAACCACTTACTATGAAGTAGATTGTAAGTTAGTTTGATACTAAAAATTTATTAAAAAGTCACCATTAAGCAACAATAGCAACAATATCAAGTATCAACACAGCTTATGATTAATGTTTGTTGTTTAAGCAGTGATTTTGCACTGTATAATTATTTAAGGATCTTGTTAATATTTAAATATTGTGAATTGAAATAAAATAGCAAATAATAAAAAGCATAGCTTAAGGGTGGATAACCTTAGTGGATTGAGTGACGACCTGATAAGTCATGTAGGAAGTTGATGAATGCAGGTGGGGTTCTGGATCGTGTATTGCCGAATTTTCTTCAAGCCGAATTACGGTAACGGCGGCCACTCTCAACGAAATCTAGCCATCTGCGCAGAGCACTCTCTATTCTTTCAATTTTATGGTCTAATGAGATCAGGCAATCTGACACCACCGGATAGACCAGGTGTATGATCAACAGATTTACATGCTCTTTGAGGATGGAGTTAAAAAACCACTTCAACTTCCTCACTCGGGGCTGCTACTGAGATTTCTTGACAAGACTACTGGTTTTTCTGCCAACAATGTGGGGGTACCACTTAAGATTGAGGTGAAATATTTGATAGTTTTCGTAGCTCATCTGTTAGAAAAGTGTAGAGATTATTGTTTCTTTATGAAATATTATTTATATTTTATATTAATTAGATTAGAAATGAATAAATGGATATTTTAAAAGTAGAAGAATTAAAAAATGGTTAAAAATGTGTAAAAGTTAAAGAATAGTACTATACTCAACCAAATTTAAGAAATACGTTTTGACAGTCGTCACGTTTAAAGGACTTAATCATAATGATTTCTTATATTACTTAATCACTTCAACTTACTTAATCATTTCAACTTAAAAATCTGCACCTACAATATTCGATTAAGATATATCAATATCGATTCCTTAGTCGGTAATCATTTACAATTTTATCTAGATTAATACCAGAATAAATTAGAAACAGGGCAAATACAAAGTTTTTTTATTTTCTAGAGATAAAGTTATATAAATTAAGGAGACACTAGATTTAAAACAAATTTATTTAATCACTAAAACTAGTTGTGCTGTCGTCGTCATCAATCATCATCCTTGTTTACATTAACCCTTCGTTGCGCGAATTTTTATTTCAAAAAGAATAAAATATTTTCGGATTTGAAATAGCTTAAAAATTACCAGAAAAATATTTGAAAAAATCACATTATTATATATTACGATATTTTTACAAAAAAACATATCGTTGTTTTAAAACAACATTGCGCATTATCCAAGTGTTTTGAAGTATGTATAGTGTATAGTGAAATATATGTTTTATTTTAACTAATTTATTTGAATATAAAAATTAATTATTATGGTATTTATAGAAATAATTATTTTTTTTGTGTCACACAAAGAAACACCACATTTTTGACAAAATTTGAAGGTGTATCCACCACATTTTGGAAATTTGCACCGTTGCTGCTTGTCTACCCATACGGACCAATGGGAAACTTGGTCTAATCTCACATCCTTTGCAGGTATTGGTTGCGTAGCTCCTTTACGCCTTTTTTCTTCAATTTCATTTTGCAATGAATTGCTTGGCCGTCCCCGTTTGGTACCGTTAGTCTGCAACCCCATGCGACATAAAGTTTCACCCAATTCCATCCTGTATCTGGACAAATTTAACACTTTTGTGTCCTTTGTATGGACTTTTTTATAAATAAGCCAAGAGTTTATTACTGTCACGTCTAACAAATGATAAAAGAGGCGCATAGTCCACTTACAACTTCTCATTTTTATATTATAACGTCCAATGTAAGAATCTAGGAGATCAACCCCTCCCATTTGTGCGTTGTATTCTTTGATCACTTTTGGGCAAGAGATCGGAACTCGTTCTTTTTTCACTTTATCATAACGTGTCACAGTTGTAGCTGGTTCAACACCAACGTAGGTGGAAAGGATATTCACAGGTTTATTGTCTTTCCATACTACAGCGCTGACATCAACACCACATTCGCCACATTTTCTTCGTAATATCCTCTTGGGATGCTTTTTTCATGATAGCCTTTTTTGTCTGGTAGCTTACAATTGCGTAGACGGTTGCGTAGACACGCACTGTCCCCAATGAATAAATACCTTCCTTAGCTAAGAAAGTCACAAGCGGTAGAGAGGTATAAAAATTATCAAAGTAGACTATATGGTTTGCTTTGCGAGGTATCATGCGAGCTAGACGTACCACAGTATTCCCTGACTCTCCTAAATTAGGCTCATTAGCTGCCACTGTAGTTTGACTGCCACTCCCTGTGTAAATTTCAAATTTATGAGCGTAGCCATAAAGGCTGCAAAGCAGGTAAAGTTTGAAGCCCCATTTGTGCGGCTTATTGGGCAAATATTGCTTTATATGGTGGCTCATTTTCGTGGCGCACATCTGTTCATCAATCGACAAACGTTGCTCGATTGGTACAGTAGCAAACCTATTATTTAGTGCATCAACAAGCGGTCTGATAAGATAGATTCGGTCATGGTCAGGATGTCCTTTTGGCAAACATTTCTCTTTATCGTTGAAATTTATAATGGACCTTATTTTCTCAAATCGCTTCTGAGACATCGTCGTTTTTATAAGCTCATATCCATACTTGTCATGCCAGTAAAGTCTAATATTAGGAAAACGAATTACAGAAGAAACAATCAAAATTCCAAGAAACTTATTCAATTCATTCTCGTCTATGTTGACTGGGTTAGAAACTTGCTTCTGCGTGGCATACAAGTTACTTTGCTCAACTGTATGTTTTATCAAATCTGGCGTGAAGAAATAGGTAAAAAAAATCTAAAGGAGTCTCCCTTTGTGTAAGTTCTTCTGGCAATTGAGTATTGCCCTGAAATTTTAGATCCTCTTCTCTAGTAATGAGATTTCGTTGTCGCCAAACTATAGGTCTTGTAGGGCGATGTGAAGATGAAGTCGGTTCTTGTAAATGTTGATCTGTTATAAAGCGATGATCCATATCATCATCGAGCTGGTTAGAAGATGGACTTTGAATGTTCTCACCTATGTGACGCTCTTCGCAATCTGAACCCTCCAGGTCGCGAAAAACTTCCCGAGCCGCTTGGTAATAGGTGTCTTCCTCGTCACTTTCCGATTCAGAGCCGTCGAGACCATCTTCAGAATTGTCTAAATTTTCTAGATAGTTCCGTATATCCTCGTGATTCAAGCGGGGCATACTAAAATAAAAACATAAAAAATCTATTAACAACCATACATTACATTTAATAAAAAGTGCGCAATGTTGTTTGTAAACAACATAAATAAAATGCTCAATAATTGCTTTTAAAATAATAAAACTAAAAAAATCACTAAATAATAACAAAATCGAGGTTACAATCAATAGAATAAATAAATTTTCAACACTTACTTGCACAAATAAAATTGTTTTACGATGACACAAATCTACTTGGCGGGCTTCAACTTTTTTGCCGCGCGAAGTGACAGATCCAGAAAAAAAAAGTTAACTTTTTTTCAAATATCGAGGTTGCCAGTATAATTTTTTAAATTTATACTAATTATAAAATTACTTCACATTGAAATTAAAAAAATACATGTAATGTATGCTGTTCCTGAATGTCAAAAACTAATGTGGTTTTAATACAACACTGCGCAATTAAGGGTTAATTATTATAATTTTATTTTGTGCCATAAATACAATAATAACGACTAAAAATGAAAAACCGCGGTTACCAACTCTCTTGTCAATCGTGGCAATTGGGGCAAATCTCCCCCCTGTGAGGCAATCTAAGGGGGAAGCCTATGTTCGGTAGTAGACTTCAATAGACTAACAGTAACAGTAATATATTCAAAGTGAATGAAGCTTTTGTAGTCATCAATAACAATTTTCTTTGTTTTCTCTATCACTTTGCCCCAGTGATTGCTTGTGTAACAGTTGTATTTTTTACAAATTCTCTGTTGGATCAAAATGCAAATTGGTGGCGCAAATTTAGCGCCCACCTTTTCCCACGGGTATGTGCCACCTGTCCATGTCTACAGCACAGAGTGGTTGGTGTTTAGCCATGTTTTATCGATGAATATAACCTTAACCCAATTAGTTATATGTTTAATTTCTCATACAATCATTATTCTTTGCATTCGTGTCTCTAAATAATTATTTTGCGTTTGTCAGTTTTTTGTATTGGAAGCCAATTTCTTTTCCAAATAGTTCTTAATGACTATACTACCATTGTACAAGTCGGCATCTTCAACTTTCTTCATCAATTTACTAGCAACTTCCCCGCATTGAAATTTAGAAATTATAAAAAAAATTGACTTGTTTAGTTCATGATTGATACAATTTTTGCCTAAAAATAAAAATTGTAATAAACAAGTAATTAAAATTCGATTATTATTTTGTAAAAGTTCCATTATTTCAATATTTTATCCGATTATTCGCATTAGAATGGATTTTAAGCATCCAAGCACTATGGTAAGGTGCAGAACGACATATCATTGAAACAACGTCGAGCATAAAAGTTGATTCTGTTTTTTTTTTTAAATATTTTATTTTGAAAGATTTGTATTTTAATTAGTGATAAAGAACTGTACATACTGTAATGAAATAAGGATAACTTTATAATTATTTGGATTTACGTAAAAGGTTATTTTAAACTGTGTGAGTACACTTGTACAAAGTTATTGCGGAATAGTTAATGTGAAACGTCAAAAGGTATTTCTTAAATTTGGTTGAGTATAAGGTATTGTATTGTGTATAATACCTACATACACTAGAAATCGAAAAACTTATAATGCAACATTTTAATGATAATGTCACTGTGTGAACGACCATGTGCGTAACAAATAATTTCACCTTAGTCTCTACTTTACAAATTATATTTAAATTAGGTTAGGTTTCCCGGTTAACTAGTGACATTTGGTGAGTTAAATTATTGGGCCTCATTGGTACAACAAAGCGGTGAGAACCAATAGTTATTATAGTCCACCTGATGACGGTAAGTGAATGTTGTGATCCATAGACATCTACATTTGTCCACAATTAATAATCAATATTTGTCACTTTCGAGATGTATGATGGAGTTCCTTGTTTCCATTAAAAAGAGCCTCCGGTCATCTAATTTGATATTTTATCTTGGTATTCTATAAGAGCATGGTCCTACCTTGGTCGAGCAGATCTAATTGTGATACAACCATAATATATCTGTAGTGTGGCTCTACTACGTATACTGTTTGTATAGGTGTCGCATATAGTTCAAATTGTGTAGTGGTGATGTACAAATATTGACTGTGTATTCCATATCATTCCGTTGGTGTTGTAAGAGGCGACAGAGTGAAATAAATCAGGAGATGGGCGCAGCAATGTCTTCTTAATAATGACTAAAATAAGAAACTGCTGTCAAGCATTGCAACTACGGCATATATCCCGCCTATGAGGCAATTTATAGGGAGACTTATACATATTTTTTACTATGTGCGAGCAGCTATGCAGGTCTAGGGAATGAGACCAGTATCACTGCGACCTAAAAGATCTATTGTGATGCGCAGGCATAATTATGTAACTTCATATGAGCGGAGTACATAGTTTCCCAGATGAGTTTTACGTTTGCGCGTTAAGGGTTCGCAATCAGTTAGGATGTGAAGAGGTGTTTCTTCCGTTATGGAACGGAACCGACATATCCTTGAGTTGCTTAGACCCAGGATGGTCATGTGCTTTTTAAGACAACAATGTACAGTTAGGGCTTTTGCCAGAATGCGCAATTTATTTTTACTTAATCCCAAGGCTTCTGAAGCGAATTTACGATCAAAGCCCAAAAAATTAAGGTTTTAGAATGTTTTAAGCCTGGTATGTCAGACCAGATCTTAAGTGATTTATTTAGGGAGACTTATGTTCAGCAGTCGACTTTAATATGTTGTAATGGTAACGGTACTGTCGATTGAAAGTATGAATGCCACTAGATTGAATGACGATTGGGTAAGTCATGCAGGAAGTCGTTAAAGTGCAGGTGGCTGGTGGGAAAGCTATGTTTAATAATGAATCTGTAGTTCTGTAATAGTGGTGATGAATAATAATATTGTCTTCCAGTGCCAATTTCAGTTTAAAATGGCGATGGCCATGGAGATGACCAGTCTCAATGGAGACTAGTCTTAGCACAGGACAGAGTTATAATGCCCAAGTGTATTGTGGAACTAAGATTGCTCACTCTTATGGTCCAATGGGACAGCAGTTTAGTACTATCGGATAGACCAGGTGTAGGGCCAATAGCTTTACATGCTTCTGGATGTATGGGCTTGACTGTCATCTTCCTGATTTCGAACTGTGATTTTTTGGCTCGAGCCACAATTATTGGTAGTTGAGGAAGTAGGCAGGGATGGTGAACATGTGGTTCCAGCAGCAGCAGCAGCAGCAGCCGCAGGCGACGCCAGCCACGAGCGCGGGTGCGGGCCCGGCCGCGGCGCCATCGCCCGCACCGGCTCCCGCGCCGGCCGCCATGCCGTACGGCGCGCACTACCCCATGTACCCGCCCGGCGCGCCCATGTATCCCGGCTACGCGCCCTACCCCTACCCGCCGGCGCCTGACCACCCCCACCAGCAGTAGTGAGTATATGCTATACATTTCCTACCTAACTCTCTCCCGATGCTATTTGCTACACGTGAAACTTTGTTTGAGTACTCTAATTTCAAAATTATATTAAACAGATATAAAATTTAAACAGTTTTTATTACAAATTAATGTATAAGATTCAAATTTTTCTGTAAAAATTAGTAACGTACAAAACCACACCAAAACAAATTGAAATTGACTTACTATACCACAGAGGACAATGGCTAAATAATAGGTGATGGAATTATTAAGTGTCTACTTAAGTCACCATTACAGATATCAATAAAATAATTTACTTTGTATTATCTAATCAAGCTTATGGCTTATCGAAGTCTGGAAAAGATCATCTTTCCGAAGTTAATACTAAATTGACTAGTTATTGTGGCAAATTGCTGATGGAATTATTAAGCGTCTATTTATGTCACCATTACATATATCAATAGAATAATTTACTATGTATTATCTAATCAAGCCTATGGCTTATCGAAGTCTGGAAAAAAATCATCATACACAATTCAAAACTTAATTGACTAGTTGTTGTAGTTGTTACGATTCGTTTGTTAAGACAGGCAAAGGTCTTATTCCATACAACCGAGTTTTACGTGTATTTTATTCCGAAAACTCTTCTATATATACTAATGCATTCTTTAAGGATTCCTACTATGCTAGTAATTACCCTATATAAACATATATGAAAATTATATTGACTAGTTGTTGTTGTAACAATTTGCCAATTAAGGCGTTTTATACCATACATTAAACTGGAATATCTTTAATTCCTGACTTCGTGCAATAGTATGATCGAAAAAAAATGTTCAGGATTTTAAACTCTGTTTTTTTACATATTTTGCAATTGTAGACGCAAGAAAAAAAGTCAACTAAAATTTGTTTGGGAGTTCGCCATTGTCCTTTATAATTCAATAATCAGCCTAATATATTGCTTTATACACACAAGTATAAAACAACATTTTATCCTGATTATTGAATAAGTACGAAATTCATCATTACTTCATTTGGGGTGACCTAAGAAAATACTATAATATTCCTGTTTATGTCATAAAAATTGACAGTAACTTAAAAAAACTTACTAACACAACACAGATTCTTGAAAATTATATCGATGTAATTAATTATTGGAATAAATTGCATTTGCACTAATTGACTTAACAAATTACCTTTTATAAGTTTTAATAAAGTATAATATGTAGAGATATTTTAATTAAGTAAGATTTTATAGTTAAAGCTTCATGCTAGTTATTGGCTTTGTTGAATATAACACACGGTTCTTTGTACGATGCAGTGTATTTTGTTATGGGGCAAAGCATTTAATACCCCACGTTTCAACTGTAATGATATTAATATTTAATTAAATAATACAGACTATGTACTATTATATTTGTACGCTTTTTTAATTTTTAGTTTACCATGCAAGTCTTATTATTAGCCCTAGCTCAAAATGTTCTCATAGAGTTGTTTATGATTACTGTTAATTATGCAGTTGAACCATAATATTGTCATATCCATTTGTAATGAAATAAAAAGTACGGATGAATATCGTTCCACTGAATATGGGAAAATTATTCTATGGCCGTGTGCCATATGTACGTATCTATTGCGTACCAATATGATAATAATAACTAATATTGCATCAATAAAGGGCAAATTTCTTAGCATTGACAGATTGAGAGAATTGATTAAAAACTATTCTTTCCCAGCATTCAAACTTTAAAGCTATTCATTCAGTCTTTTCCTTGCATGAAATTCATAGTTTATCAAACATTTAAAAGATAGTTTGACAGGATGCAATGAAGGAAAGTATTATTTGACAAAAGAGGGCTGGACATATTAAATTTACTTTATGTTCTCAAATATTATAAGTCGCAGTTATTTTTAAATATTGTATATAAATGTCACTATAATTTTCAAAGAATATACTTTTTATTTTTACAAATATACCAAATCTCTCAAAAGCTCTCACAGAATACCAGCGTCAAATAGTAGCTTAATGCTGCTGTGTTTCGTATGGTAAGTGTAGAGAACCAGAGACCCTTTTTACTGCAAACGAGGCATTCCATCTTAGTCCTCACGGGTGACAACGCATCTGCATTTTGATCCGTAATATAGGGTAGATATCTATGGGCCGCAGCAACCACTTTCCATCAGGTGGACTGTGTGCTCATTTGTCACCCTATCCTATAAAAAAAGCTAACACATATTAAATGCTGGTTATTTTCTTTTTATTTTAGTAATTTTAATCTTATTTTATCTGTGGTATCTGCATGTAAAAATTTATTTTTATTTGCTTAATCTGTGCTATCAATGGGTTCTCTATTATATGATTTACCATAATATGTGTAATATAATGAAATGTCTTTATTTATTTTATTATTGTAAAATTACTGAGCATGTTTTTTATAATTTACTCAAATTCTTTTTCAGTACAATGCACGAAGTAGAAATATGTAAAAAATGTGACTCATTATGGGTGGTTTAAATGGTTTAATACAATGTGCAAATTGCATATCATGTAGTTTAATATGTTGTTATGAAACACATTGCTTTAGTGTGTGTAGTGTTGCAGATGTAGGCTCACCAGTGCCGGGGTTGCCTGCTCTCGAGAACGCTAAATTATTATTATACCTTACAAACTATGTTGCCATGTTCTTTTGTTTGTCTGATTACAGAGCACCGAGGAACGAGCCCGTACGCGTCCCGGAAGAGACCTCTACATTTTAGATCATAACTTACTATAAGCAAATCCGTTTCGACTAGCTGGCTACCGCACTCAAACAACCCGCAATAAATAATCATTAATTATTTTTATAACTATATAAATTACACATATTACCTATCATATCACAGGTTTATTTCTTGTGGGAATCTGGCAGTTATGATGTATTAATCAGAGTTGTCAATTTGAGATTATAAATTTTTTTAACATACAAAATTAAATTTTTTTTGACTTGAATTTATGGCTGTGTGGTCTATTCTTGTGAATTGCATTACGTGTATCAAATGCCTGAATGTATTACCTGATTCATGCTGTGTTGTGTCGATACTGATGTTTGTCATGCCAGTTTGTCCAGGTTTAAAGTAAAGAACCACACTGCCTTTAAAGATGTAACAGAAAGATCCGACGGAGCTATAGAGAGTGACGGAAATGGAAAAAATGAAAGCATAGTGTGACAGTCATACTTCGCCGCTGCGGAGGAGTCGAGGTAAATGCACTGTATTGAGTGAATAGATCAACAACACACCTTTATATTGTGACTTCATTAGGTCAGTTTCATGTGTAATACAATACCCTTGCTTCTGAGTGCGAAGGACGAGATTTTAGATTTTGCGTATTTTTTATTTTGTATCTTAAACATTGAATGTGAGCGCTAATCTAGAATCGGAATTCTCTGCATTCAAATATCGTTATATGAGTAATGTCTAGATTAAGTTAAGATTATTAAGTATCGGAAACGCGTCTTTGACCTCTCTTGAGCTCATTAGGTCTACTAGTAGGTTACTATGTCGAACACAACAGTATAGTTACATAAATTAGAATATGTATTTTATTGATAAACAATCTAGCTTTGATAATAACTGAATTTAGGTATGTATCGAAAAGTAATTAATGAAACAAAGGCAATGTAAGTCGACCTACATTCCTCTCCGAAAATTGTTCAATGACTTGCGAATTTGGTACACGCGAGTTCGCCTACGGGACATCCCAAGTCAATGTAATAATGTTAAGATATAAAGTGTATGTTGATTGAACCGTGTCCATTTTATTTATAATCATGACTTCTCTTCACAGACCTGAAAGGTAAGTAACCTAACCTATGTGACAAAACTGTGTCAAAAATGTTCTGAATACATATTTCTATTTTCCCGTTCTGCACTGTTCGATATTTTGTATCATGTGCTTTCTCGTGTTCATCTTACATAATTTTCTTTATTTTGTCGTTGTGTTATTGAGATTTCAATATCTATTGCCATAGAATATGTTTACACAGATACATGTTTTACGAGTGGTGTAATTTTTTTAATTCACATAGACTAATGTCACTAGTGTGGTAGATAACACCTATTTCAGAGACGATTATTGTTTTACTCACGTAAGATTTTGGTTGTTCCTTGTACTTCTATAGTTCAACGTGGTGTTTGCAAATTTCCTATGTAGTTTTCACAGCAGTTGGCAATACCTACGAAGATGTCTGCAACTGATAAATATTCAAAGCAGACTCAAAGTGGACATCGTTTTTGTAGCAAAACACCAGAACCAACATTTACCTCCATATTAAAACATTTCTTAGTTTGTGTGTGTATAGACCCTGATATAATGGTGTTTATAATATTATAGTTATGCTTTTTTGGTTATTTTATAATCTACGCCACACTCTAACTCAATTGTTGAAATGAGAATGATTGTATATTTGATGTATTGATACTGATTTTAATGTCATGTGTACATTGCATTTTCCCTTCTATTTTTACCTTTTATGACATAAATGTCGTCTTTATTGCCGGTCTGTGTTAAAGGTTGGAGTAACGTGTCAACTCCCTAAGTACAATCAAAAGTAGTATAAATATTAAAAACGAAGGGATATGGCAGAATGGTGGAACGGAGAATGGCTGACAAAGAATTGGTTTGTATACGAATATCATGGTAAGTTTAGTGTACGAAAACACAAATAATAAGAACTTGTGTTTACCCAACATATATTTAACGTTAATTAATCTGTTCTCTCGTGAAGTGTAAAAGTAAGTGAACCATATTATATGAATAAGTGTCCATCAAAAGGTTTTACATAGTGTTTCAACAAATGATCTAAGGGACACTAGTATAAAGCTCAATGTGAACTTGCCAGTTGCAATTGAGTGAAGTATACGGTAGGCAGTGGAAAAATAAATAAATCTGGTGATGTGGAAGCTGGTCGATAAAAGCAAAGGTGTCAAACAACTAAAAATGTTTTTATTGAATTTTGATTCGGAAATCATATTTATATTTTTTATTTTAAAGTTTATAAAATTTTATCGACTGCACTTTACGAACGTAAAAGCAATAATTTTGATATATTGATGTGATACTCTTTTCTTTTGCACTCCATATTATTAACAAAACGATAAATAAAGTAAAAAGAAAAAGAGAAACGATAGCGATAAATAAAATAAAAAGATGATTAATTGAATTATTTTTGATTATTCTGCTCATAATAAAACACTCATTATTACTTTCAAGAAAATTTTCAAATTCAATTAAGAGGAAATTTGGGTGGCAAAAAAAGGAATTACTTTTAAAGAATAGGTTTTTATGATACCTATGTCTTACTTTTTCTTATCGAGCGCGAGAGAGTTCAAGTATCAAGATTGTGATGTCTGTATGTTTTGCTATTATTTTTTTTTACTTTTCTTGCATAAACAATTTATGAAAAGAAACAAAAGAATGTTTTAATATGGCAGTTATAGATAGTATCGAAAAGTTTTTATGATATTTGTCTTAACTTTTCTTATCGAGCGTGAGAGAGTTCAAGTATCAAGATAAAAGAATTTTCTTAATATGGCAGTATAGATTATTATCTATATTGAAAAACATGCGCTAGTGGAGAAAACAGATCAATTAATATGTATGGGTTAAACACCGACTTGTTATCCTCTTAATGAACAAGAAAACTTTTTAGCTCGCATCTAACATCACATTACACGACAAAACCCATCAACCTGCAATCTGGTGATTAAGACTAACTCCTGCAAGCAAAATGTAAATTTTAAAATTACAAAGGGTATTTAGGAAGAATGTTCACAACTTTGCATTTAAATGAAAATGAAAACCAGTGCTGAACTACGAAATTATTTTGACCATCTCATGCTCAAACTGGTCCATTGAATCTGTTTTATTAAGTGTTTGTAGGATGATTGCCAGGGGGGGAGGGTACCTAACCGATTACAATATATGTGTGCTAATCAAATTATTTAAAAAACTGAAAAGAAATGTTTAGTATTTCATGTTATATATATATTTAATTTCTGAAATACTAAATTTGGTCAATACTTTATATATTTAGTATATGTATTTTATATATTGGTTAATAGATTTACGATAAACTTTTTTAAAATTATTTCTATTTATTGGTTGTGTTTATTATGTGTCTAGATTTTGGGTTACCATATTATGTTTGGATTTATCCAGAAATGTCAGGTTATCAGAAATATTTCACTAAAAGGCGAAAACCTGTAAATAACATAATTCTCAATACAAAAAATCACCATTATCACAAATTTCGGATTGAATAGGTTTAGTAAAAAATTAAAGTGCGGACATTTCTTGGGTTGGCGGATTGTGTTATCCGAACTTTCTAAATAGAGATATGGTAACCCTATTGTTACTATAAAAGTGACTAACTTTTGGTGTTTCACTTTATTTGTCTTTCGTTATACCTATATAAAATTTAGAAAACATCTAAAAACTAAATTCCCTTTTTTATAACTGTTGATGTGTCCCAATATAATCCAAAAAATAGTACATATATCAACATGTTTCTTAATGCATTCATTCTTTTTGATGATATATGATTTGATTTCTTTTGATATATTTATTTTTACCAGTAGGACTGCGATGTTTCTTGGGCTATCCATATGTCTATTTGTTGATTTTTTGCATTCCTATGATATTTTTTACAGAATGAACCATAGGAAATGATGGACAATTGAGAATAAAACGTATGAATCGATTCGTTGTTTTATTTTTACACGAATTTAAGCTTTATTTATTTATAAAGAAACACGCAGATGAACAATCTATAAGACATTTCAATCTCTTAACTTATTTAGATCTTAGATCATGTAAACTATATAATAAAACAATAAATAACGTGTAACGAATAAATTTACTGTCTGGGAGTATTTTTTTTCTTATTAAATAGGTACCTAATGTATTTATTTTTTGGTCATAATAAATGCTAATTTTTATTTCTTATAATAACTAATGTTACTTAACAATTATTAAGAATATAAATTACTACTAAATAAAAGACATCGTTATTTTAATGTAAACCGAAAAGTAATGGAATTTATTAATGATTTTATTTCGGTAAACTGATGTTAAATGTACGGACACTAGTGGACCATATATTCAACATGAACTACATAATAAGTTCCTAAAACATTAATGGGTATAATAATTTACAATAATATAATTAACGTATCTAAGGTCCTACGTTCAGTTTGTTACACGTTGTTTAACGAAAATAAGACTAAGTGTGGAGATTAATTTAACATCAATACCTCGTAGGAGAGCTTTCTCTCGACGTATTAGATAGGGACGCCGAGGAACCATCCGTGTGGATAAAACGTGAGAGCTTATTGAGCGGTGCTGTTGCCCACGGCTGAAGCGGACTGCTAACTTCCGGGACTGGGGATACCCTGCAGTTTATAAATTCACACCTAAAATTAACAATTTACTGAGTAATTGGACTGTCTTGACTGACCGTCTGGAAGGGTGGACTTAAAAAAATATATTTAATCGGCTCAACACCAGCAGTAGCAGTTATCGAGCTACCTCTTAACTGATTTTTAAGAAGTAAATTTTACTAAGTGTTAGCAATACAGAAATTGGTCTAAAATTGGCGGGGTCCAATGTACTACCAGATTTAAATAAAGGTATTAATTTACTATGCTTCATTAAATTAGGAAACACACCAGATTTGAAACGTAAAATTCTTTGTACACGCATTTACATTTTGTTTAATGATTCGGCGACGGCAACAGAAGAATTCAGTGACTTAGTATATAGCAATATGTGTACTGCGGTGTTTTGGCTTGAAGGGTACAGGGAGCCAATTAATAAAATGAGGTTTATATATAGTCTTAAGATATATTTAAAAAAAAATGCTTAGCCAGCACTGAAAAGCGGCAATTTTTCTAAATAAAAACTTTCTTACGACTACGAAAGACTGTACCTACCTTACAATTTATCGATCATCCCTAAATTACAGCCTCTGAACATAGTTTCTCCTATAGTTTTTCTCATAGGGATCCGGCATAATTTGTCATAATTACTATGCTTGGCAGGCGGGTTGGCAGCCGCATTTAATAATATATTACAACGCGGTCACATTAACTTGACGCATGGCTTTGATGACGTCATTTACAACAGTGTAACAGAGATGCTAACCATACTGACGATTGCCGAGCGAGCTAAGGGAGTGCGGGGGCTATAACGGGCGGGGCCTCGCATTCCAGCGATGCGTCAAGTTAGTTAGGAGGTAATCTGTGAGTTAATGTGACCGCAATATACCTACATCATAAATCTTTAAATTAGTCCGTAGTCTACTCTTGGACATGGGCCTCATTGAGAACGTCACGTTTGGTAGGTGTATTGACGGTAGGCAGGTACGAATATGACAAGCCATAAGATTCTGCCGTTTCAAGGCCATAACGTATATTCCAAAATGCATTGAAATCGAATACCTATATGGTGTAATTTGTACGCTGTGCTATGCTATGGGTTGCCATGCATATTACGCTAAAATGCCCTAGTCTGCAATTAAGTCATTCTGATCTTTTCATACTTACAAAAATTGAGAAAAAAAGATTATATCTTAATGAATTTTCTTTTTGTGAACGGTTTCAAAATATATCTCAATTTCGGCCAAAATGTCTCTTGAATCACTTGACTTCCACGCTATCTATATATTTAAGCCAGAGATAAGGTACAATCTAAAGTCAGTTTATACCTACGTAATCTATTTGTACAATAATACACTATGAAAATGAGGGTTTAATCGCGAGACACCAAATTTCGGTAATGTAGTTATGTGGTCACAATTTTCTTGTGATTCAGTACGGTATAAGAATTTGCCGCTTCCTCAGACCAACAAAAAGAGACAACTCTATCCTAAGTATAACGTCGAAACCATGCTCTATTTATTGTAAGAACACACGTTCAGAGCACCTAACCTAAAACTGCTCATCGTCACCCGCCTTCAGTTTGTGTCGCAAAAAAATCAATAAAAATTATAATCCCGTCACTTTACCGTGAGCGACCTAGTCTCACGGTATCATGTACGAGGGGAGGTAAAAAAGTTCGCGGAATATCATGTAAGGATAACGATTTTTCCTTTTTAACACATTCAGTGCCACCGACTCGCCCGGAGAGTTCACGTAAATCTTATTCCAGTGCCGACGACTCGTCTGGCGAGTTCAGTGTTTTTCACTTATATTTCCAAAATGCATCCGTATTTTCTGCTTAAAATTATAGTTTAGACTAAATATATGCTAAACTAAAGATTTACGTGGTGGGCCGGGTGTGGAGACCCCGTTTAAATTTGAAAGGAAACAAACTATTCTGCAATGCCTTGAACTCGCTAGGCGAGTTCCCTGACATAGATCCTCAACCTTTGACATGTTAGACAACGACGTGAACATAGTAGTATGGACTACCTTCATACTTGTGATATGGAACTAATATACAACAACCTAGTTTCATTAGAATAATTAGGATCGTGCCAAATGGAAGTCCGTAGTCTCTGCCTACCTCTCTGGGTGACAGGCGTGAGTGTTTATGTGTTACTTATCGAAAGTCACTCTTGTTTGATTAAGTATTGATATACCACCGGTTTGGAATAAAGCCTCTGTCCTAGGAAGAACTATCAAGATATTATTTTTTTTTAAAACAAGCTTTAGAAATACAAAGTTATCCTAATATTTGAGATAACATATCTAGCAGCCATATTATAAATCTTGTATCTTTGTAATAGGGTTGAAAATAAATAAAAAAAAGGGTCGGCATTGATAAAACAGCCGACAAAAAAACACCGGCGCGCCGTTGTATTTGAAGAACAAAAGCACGGATAACATTGTTTTTTACAAAGCTCTCATTGGCTAATGTTAAATCGCACTCCAAGAATGCACTTGCAACTAAATATTTCGTCTTGTATTCCTACTTGTGACGTCGTTGCCTACTCTAGTAAACTTTGTTTTCAATATCGACCCTTTCGTCATCGCATGCGTTTATCTGTTCTCTACCTTTGTGACCTGGCTTACGTTTACTGGACTCCCGTGTTTTGATGACCTTGACTGCTCTCCATTGCAACTCAATTTGTTGTATATAAGTCCCATCTCCAGCCACAAATGGATTGTTTGCGTCTGAGTGATTAACTTTTTTATGAGTGTATCTGTGTTAAAAAAACAAACTGACATAATATTTGCGTTTCATCATTGATTTATATAACACTAGATCAGTAATAACCGCGCCAAAGCGTTTCCACTGCACATATGGCCACAGCCATATGCCTAGCTAACGTGAGTTCATTGTTCAATGTGACACCGACAGAGTTGAGCCGCGACAAAAATGGGTAAATGCGTAGTGAAAGAATGCTATTCAAGGTCACAAAAACGTAATAAATCAAGCGGCATCACTTTCAACACATAATTTTTAGTTCTTGTTTTCATATAAACGTAAAAAACCTCAAATAATTAAATAAAATTATCGGATATTGCCATTTAGGTACAATGTTGCCACTTTTCCGGATTTGTGATTATTCTACATTAATGGTAGACTATATAATTAATGGAGTAAGTTAATTTGTTACCTCTGATTTTAAATATTTTGTAAATTATAATAAAAACTACGTTTTAACTTTCATACAAAATAATTAATTATTCTTATTTTAGTTTATTCATGAATTATCTATTAAATATATTTTATTACCTATTTTATATTAATAATTTTATATTATTTATAATTTCATATAAATTTTATATTAATTATATTTTATTAGATCCCTATTTTATATTGTTTGATTTATTAGAACCATAAAAATACGTTTTATTTCATCATTATGTTTACTTCTATTCATCTGATAAGCTTTGTATCCCTTTTTTCTAAGGGGACGTAATAAAGATTTTAAAATAAAATATACTTTTTTGATATAAAAACAATTAACTGCAGCTTAAAAAATTTTTTATTGCGTATTTTAGGTAAAATTTCATATAGTAAGCCACACCAACCTGCCATTGCATGTTTGTGTGTCTATCTTTATCTAATCTTACGACGACGTTATTGTTTTCGCAACTTGTGTAAGTGAGATAGATATATGTTTACTTAAAATTGTTATTAGTTTCAAAGCTACGTCGTCGCGTTTGGATAGTGGTTACACTTTTTTCGACGCGCGGTAATGTGGTTTGCTCCTCTAGTGTTGTATAACTCAATGCGTTTCGTTATATGTAATTTAATTAATCAAAATCAAGTACCGGATGTCTAGCCAACTCGATATAACCCAAAACTTTAACTATCGATATCTCGAAAAAATAAAGATTTCCGGCATAAAAAGCAGCTAAATGGTAATCAATAGCATCATTGCCTGTCAACTAAAGCTAAAATAGTCACTTAAATCGTGCAGCAGATTACTAAGGCCGACCCAAAATAATACATTTTAATCTGATACCATATTCTTAAAACTGAAAGCCCGTATTAAATTATTTCGGGGTAAAATTGTCCATTCACAAGTATTAGAAATTCAAAATATAACCTTAACAATAACCACAATTTAAAAGGTTGACAACCACTGCTCAAATTACGAAACAAACTTACTTTTTATTTTATCCAAAGAGTTTTATGCCATTTTTACAAGCCGAATAATCCGGAAACACTTTAATTGCGTAAACACGTTAAGTACACTGTGACGGCCACAAAAATTACAAAACATAGAATTTACCCTTACGTAGTGCCAGTGAACTCGCGTGGCGAGTTGATCAATTTATATTGCAGTGCCGGCGACTCGCCGGAATCCGAGAAGGCATCATGAAAATCGTAGGGGTGATGAATGTGTTAATGTATTCTCCCTAAACCCTAATACATTTATTAGATCTGTGAAATAACTTATTAATAGGTACCGTCTAAAAAAAAAATTTGTCTTGGGCATCAAAATAGGCCGAAATTGCTGATTTCGCTTCATCATCGTTGCCAATTTTTTCCACGCAGTTCTGTGTACATTTTTGTATACAAATAATAGTTGCTTGGGGCTAGGTCTCGGCTGTAGGGTGGGTGACGTAGTTGTTCAAAACCGCACCGGTGAATGGCAACCCGTCGCAACATGGCTTGTGTGCACGGGCGCATTGTCGTGCAAAAGGAATACGCCTTTTGTAAGCTTTGCTATTGCGCGAAATTTTTGACTTCCCCTCGTGTGAAAAGTAATAGAGTTAACTAGGTAACTAAACTCTGATTTTTCATTCCGTAGAATTCTGACATTTCGTAAGTGTTGCTACTAAAAAAGTTCTCCACCGAAAAAGAGACAAATTTGAACCATTTGAGGGCAATAAATAATAAAATGCTACGTATTTTTTATGTTTCACCTACAAAAAGGTAAATCTAAATATTTACTTATACAAGTCACCTAATACAAAAATAACAAATATTTCAATATCACGAACAATATATCTAATTAACTTTAATTACTTAATATTTTATTCTTTAGCTGGCATCACTGTCTACTAATTCCAGGTTTAAAAAACCTTTTAAAAAAATGTTAGCTGTCACGTCGCGTCTGTCACATTGATTGATTTTCATTCGACTTCTTTGAATGCTCGAATGCGCATGTGTTCTCGGTGTTTGCTGCTATTTGTTGTTATTATCTTGTTATATTTGTTAAGTTTCTGTTATTCTGTTAAGTTTTTTCTTGTTGACCTTTCGTTTTGTGATCGTTTGTTGATTTTTATAAACGTTATGGAGCCACAACCTGGCCCTTCCCGGGAAGCAGCCCCATCTGACAGAGCACAAGGCTTAGACTTTCTTTCTCCCAGAAAGAAGCGTCCTCGTGGTGCTTTTACGCCCAACGAAAAGACCATAATTCTAAATATTTACAAATATAATATAGAAAATTGGCCGCAAACAACTGATTGGAGTGCAACGGAATGTGCTAAAAAAGACTTCTGAGATGACTGGCGTGGGTCTGTCAAGTGTCTATAAAATTACCAAAGAATATAAAGACACAAAAGAATTTCAAAAGCCGAAAAAGAGTGGACCTCAACTATCTTTCATACAAAAATTTGACGAATTCACTTTCGCCGCAACTCGACGAAAGGTTCACGCGTTTTTCTACAGGAACGAGATTCCGACTATTGAAAAGGTAAAGTTATTGCTAATTCTTTAACACCTCGTTGCTGACATCCCCCATTGTTTTAAAACTATACTTTAACCTGTGTTGCCTGTCTACATTTTAACTGTAATGTAAATGCTTATTTCAGATTCACCAAGAGATAACTGGTGATCCAGACATGCCTGTTATGTCGAAATCAACATTAAGAAAAGTATTGAAGCATTTAAATTTTAAATACACAAGTCGCAAACGTCGAAGTGCGCTAACAGATCGCAAGGAGATAGTACTATGGCGTCAAAAATACTTGCACCAAATTAAACAATATAGAAGAGAAGGCAGGCTTATATATTACCAGGATGAAACGTGGGTAAACGAAGGCAAGTATTGAATTATGTGGTAATTAACTTTTTATAACCTATCTTTTCTTCAAAGTATTAGTCGGAAATCGAATTCTGTACTTATGTAATACTTAAATTAACTTTGTTAATAAATTTTTGTTACCAAAATGAATAAATAAATAAAGAAATCCATGTTTACAGGTAATATTTTTCAATTTATATGCATATATAACTGTCCTCATGTATAAGTGAAATATTAAATATATTTTTATTTTCAGGACATACCGTCAATAAAGTGTGGTGTGATACCAACATTCAATCTTCACGACAAGCTTTCCTCGATGGCTTGACAACAGGGCTTAAGGCACCAACAGGCAAAGGGGGGCGACTTATAGTTAGCCATATAGGGAGCGAAGAAGGATTTTTGGAAGATGGTTTATTAGTTTTTGAGGCAAAAAAAGGCTTGGCAGATTACCACAAGGAGATGACTGGGGAAGTATTTGAGGAGTGGTTCACAAAAATACTTCCAAAATTAAAACCAAACTCGGTAGTAGTGTTGGATAATGCTCCCTATCATTCGAGGAAGGTCGAAAAAGTACCAACGAGTGCATGGAGAAAAGGCGATATCCAAGCGTGGTTGACTTCAAAAAATTTAAATTTTGAAGAAAAAATGCTAAAAGTTAATTTATTGGAAATTGTGGGTCAGGAGAAATACAAATATCAACAGTGTATTGTAGACGAGATGGCCACAGCACAAGGCATTACTGTGCTTAGACTGCCCCCATATCATTGTGAGCTCAACCCTATTGAATTGGTGTGGGCTCAAGTGAAGGGGCATGTCGCAAGACACAACAGAAGTTTTAAAATGGCGGAAGTTAAAAAACTATTACTGGAAAGTATAAGTAGTATTACTCCTGATAAATGGCAAGAATGTATCAGCCATACAATCAAAGAAGAAGATAAGATGTGCACTCTCGACGATTTCATTGACACAGTCGCAGACTCTTTAATAATTCATGTCAGCGATGATGACGATGATGAAGATAGTGATATAAGTATTAATGATGACTAAAGATTTTAATAAAAATATGTTATTTTTACTTGTGCATTTTTTACTGTTTGTAATGAAAAGGGACGTAATTATCACTCGCCGTAAAACCATGTAGAGTACCGCACTTAATAAAATGGATACATTTACTAACAAATAAAATGTATGTATAGACTCAGATGTTCAGACACGTATTGAAATTGAAAAATGTGCCCGGCCAAAAAGGTTTGTAATCTCTGACATGTCAAAAAATGATAGCTGTCAGAATTCTACGGAATGAAAAATCAGAGTTTAGGAGTAAATCCATACCTGTTACGACGCGGACGTGCCGTTTTCGGACGCACTCGTTTTTCCGTCTTTAAGACTGACGCAGGAGCTGCACTTTCTACTTCTGCACCGCTACCTGTACCTAATGTGTAGGACCAAGTAGACACGTTGAATTGAATGGATATTATTATGTTATACCTACGTATCCTGATACTTTTAAAAATGCTGTACCTAAGGTGGGATGATTAGCCTTGCAATGAAGTAAAGAACACGGGTTTTAACAGTGGCGAAGCTTTTATTAAAGCCGAAAAGCCGGGCTTGCCTTATTAAACCTGAATCAATCAATAATATCAACTAATAAAATAACTCTTAAAATGTTTCAAGCTGTTTCAAATTTCCCGCGCACTCCACTGTTCGACACATGTCGACCGATGACCTCGTATTGCCTTAGCCACAGCCTCCTTTAGTAGAGCAATATAGAAGGCTGTGCCTTAGCGATACTGCTGCTGTCATAAAAAATGAGTTTTAATGGAGCTAATAGTCGTCTCCCTCGCTCGCGTGGGCTTTTTACGGGGCTTTCGAGAAGAGGATCGCTCTTTTTTCTAACCTATGGCAAAATATTCTATAATGAAATATAACTAAGATTGTATATATAACAATTAGTATAGAGATTTAAAGCCAGGCTTTTGGGAATAAATTTGTTAAAAGCGGAGGCGCGCGGGCAATACGTTTGCAAGTTCATTTCACGTTTCAATGTTTATTTACTCTGTGTGCTTATCTTAAGCGATTTAATATTACGAGTTCAAAATTTATGCTTTTTTTTAAAGATATTCAATGAAAATGGAGGATAATAGTGTTCCTTGTGATGAATTGAAGTGTGCTTAAGTGATAATCGGAGAGGAAATCTTTAAACTTTGTTGAGATAATACACAAGGTTAAGAGTGTATTTCAGACTTATCAATTTTCGCAATTAAAAACAGTTATTGGTACAATTAAAACGTTCACCAACATTTTACGTGGACGTAATTAAATCTTTCCATAAGAAAGCGAGACGATTCCACTTATCTCTTATCCATTAGAATGTAAATAAGTAATTTTTTTTTAATTTTGTACATAGTTTGTTTTTACTTTGTTCGTGTTTTACTTTTGTTCGTGTATTGTATTGGATGTAAATATTTTTTTTCTTTCGCTTAAACAAACCCAAACGGCTTTCTTCAAAGCCACCGAAGCTATGCAATTGCTGATATGTAATACAATCTATCTAGCAGTGGTATGCCTTCTGTGTGCTTTGTTAAACACGTCCTTGACAGCACTGAATATGAAACTGAAGCGTGGAGACAGATCAAGATTGGTGTATTTTTATAAAACTGCCAAAAACAACAATCTATATTTTTATCAATTTATATCTTGGGCTTGCCCTAGCTTGGAGCTCTAGCTTCGCCACTGGGTTTTAAGTAGGTATTAACATTTTATTAGTATGTGTCAGGAGTCATTAAGATGTCAATATTTGACGAGTGAACGAAAGAGAATTAATTTATTTTTTATTATTTCGTTATCAGGAACTTTATTGCAAATAGAATTATTCAGGAATTGCTGAAATATGAAAAATTATACACATTACGTTCGTACATTGGATCATGGTAGAGTCACGCAGCAGCTTTTGCTGTTGCACAAATAGACCGGCTCGACCAGGGTAGTACCACGGAATACCAGCTTTAGGTAGAAATATTTTTACTTCTTCATTTCGCCTGGTGAGTAGGTATATCCGGTGGCCCTTTCCTTCTCTAAACATGAGGTGTTTTACTAGAAGTAAACGGAGCAAAATCACCAATCACGGCACCCCCTCCCACGCTCACTACGGATTTCTGCAAATTACGGGAACTTCATTCAAACCTTAACGCACCATCTCGTGTCGGCTGGGCCGGCCTTTCCCTTTCTCATCGTAACGCAGTTGTCCCCTCTTGTAGTTTATGTGTATGACAGATATTATGCGGCCTGACACAGCTAGTCATTTCTCTCACGCGGATTCCGGTTGTGAAGAATCATACACAAACACTGTTGGACCTTCTGCTGACTTCTCATTCGGACGGCTACCAGATCTCCATTGATGCCCCTCTCAGATCTTCAAATCACTGCCTTATCCGGAGTACGGTGCCTATCACATGTTCATTGCATCCACGATCGCCGTGTGTGGTACTATAAATACATAATATATAGGTTAGCGGAATGGGATGCGGGCTTTTTGCATCCTTCCCTTTGGACTTAGTACTATTGTGTATTATGAGCCATGGAGGCGGGTTTGCTTCTCGTTGGATGATCTCAACATCATTGCTAAGTCTGTCACCGATGTGGTGCTTCAGAGGATGGAACTTTTCATCCCGTCATCTGTAGTGTCTATCGGTGGCAGATCTCAGTCTTAGTTTGGAAGCTCCTGCAAAATTGCGTCGACCCAAAAGCAGGAGTGTTACAAGGCCTTTGCTGACACATCGGCGTCCTGGGATGCAAACACTAGCGCACTCAAAATGGTATATAACTGCTTCCAAGTCCTTCGAAAGAGTTATCGCTAGGGCAAAGACACTGATCACATTTGGAGAATTGGCGAGAAATTAGTGCGCCTTCCTTCGAGAATTCGTGCATTCTGGGCCCTCGTCAGGGCTGCCCAAGAGAATATCTGTAATAATAATAATATTGAACCCAAAAAGCCATCATTACCATCTTTGCGCAGAAAGGAGGAATCGCTGGCCCACGCCGAAAAGGAGAAAGTTCATCTTTTAGCTTCCCCTTTTGCGTCCAACTCGACTATCGATGGCGAGGGAAACACATCGTGCCGACCATTCCGCGGTGTGAGTGCTCCAATCCGGATGTGCGGTTTACACAGCGCTCGGTGAGCAAAGCACTTCTGTCCATAGATGTCAACAAGTCGAGCGGGCTTGATGGAATGTCTCCAGAGTTGGCACCAGTTCTTATGCGTCTTTTCCTATTCTGTTACTTTTTAGGTGTTGTTTGAGACTCATAGAATACAGGCATATTTTTATATATTTATCGATTAAGTTTGGTATATAAAGAAGGCAAAAGAGTATATACCTATAACAAATAAAGAATGTTCCACGTGCGCTTGTCCAGTGGCATGCTGTATACACAGGGGCCGTGCTGCTTTCATTCGAGCCGCTTCATCGCGAGCGCCTAACGCACTGCTAAATTAAAATATATAACTCAAATTATAAGTAAGTACTTTCTTTATGTAATTACATGAAGGCATGAATTTAAAAATACATTGCAGTTCAGGTAGCATGTGTTTGGTATATGATAATCACAAATATAAACTCAATTATAAATTACCTGACATGAAATTTTATTTTTCTATCCCTAAAAATAAGAAAAGAAAATAATTAAGTAGGTACCTAAGTCTTGTAGATTCTCAAAAATTTAATTTATTTTTTATAAATCAAGTGGGAGTAGGTTAAAAAAATTTTTCCATTGCATCATCATCATCATTACAGTCTGTTACAAGTCCACTGTTGATCGTAGTCCTCCCACGAGAAATGTCATAAAGCACGGTCCTGAGCCGTGGTAGCTCAGATGGTTACCGCTCGCTGTAAGTATAACAGAACGCGAGTAACCCGGGCTCGATCCCCGCCGGCACCAACGAAATTGTTAATTGCAATTTTAAATGCTGATTTACCATGTGCTCGGCGGTGAAGGAAAACATCGTGAGGAAACCTGCATGTCTGAGGAATAAGAAAAAAAATATTTCGAAGACATGTGAAGTTCGCCAACACGCATTGGGGCAGCGCGGCGGACACTTCCTTGCCCTAAAACCCTCTCAGAAATGAAGGGAGGCCTGTGCCTAGCAGTGGGACGTATATAGGCTGTAACTTTGCTTTACTTTTTTTACGGTCCTGAGCCACCTGTATCCATAGTTTTCCTTCCTGCATATGTTACCAGGTCGTATCTGTAAAGAGGGAGAAAGTCCTACAGTTCGCTTACCGTTACGAAGCTACCACACGAGTCTTTTCATAATTAAGCATGAATAATTTAAAAGCTTCTAATTGGGTAAGTATGTATCCAATAACGTACAAATAAATTATTGACACAAATAGAGACATCATCAAATTGAAGATACAACAATTTATTTTATACTTAACGCTCTTGTATTTTTATATTTCTAAAATATGTAGGTAAATAAAAGTTTGCATAATGATTTGTTATATTTACGCGAATATGTACTACATATGGAATAAAAATAATTATACGGATGTTATCTCGTTTAAGCAAGTATACTACTGCAAGACTAAGATACTGTAAGATCGTTCTGCGTAAACCGGACCAAAATTAATAGTAATAGTAGCCTTCGTCAACTATGACATCAAGACGTCAAACACCTCGTCAACGTCCACAAACAACGTCCCTCCCGTGACCACAGGTGCTGAATAGTGCCCGAAAAGTCGGGAATAAAAAAAGTTAAATTAGTTTTATTCCAAAAGTTTGCATAGATAGATTTAAGCTTACCAATTATTTCCCGAACTAGGCTGGTCTTCCCATGGCGCATCGCTTTCAACTGCGCTGCTTTCAGAAGCCACTAAGTACATGGATCTGTGGAGTCAGCTCAATACAATTACCACGATAAATATAGAAATAAATTTCTTATCAACTGGATATCATTTATGAGGCTACCTCATCATATCGTAAAAGTCGTATGACCTTTGAGTAGGGTTACTATTTCTAGCTTAGGCTAGGATTTGCCATAATCCACCAACCACGCTTAGAAGTCGGCTAAGCGGTCACAACACCCCCCGATCTGTTTGTCCAGACCTAGCTAGCTTTTAAATACTCTACGTCCGAACCGAATTTCGCGCGAGACTGGTTATAAGTAGCTACATGAGTGTATGCGCAAGCATAGGTGCACTCTCATGGTCCAATAGGATATACACACAGAAATCGTAATAATTTATTATTACTATTTCTGTGGATATACACGACAAGGCTTTGAGTGATGGTTGAATACTCAAAGACAACAAGGAGAAAATCAGGCGCAGGAACAGCGGCTATCCGTGCTTTCTGAGGCACGGGGTTGAAACACCGCCAACATCCTGACTCTGGGCAGTTACTGAGAATTTCCTCACAGTAATAGGTACCCAATAGCACAATCCAGTCCGCAGCAAAGGAAAATCTCCTAAGCTTCAAGGTAAATCGGACGGCCTGTACCGGATTTTGACCAGGATCAACGATGTAACCTACCGGATACAGAAAAGCGCAAGAGGGACTCCTAAGATCGTCCATGTGGATCGCCTGGCGCGTTATTATGGGGCCGATAATGCTCGGGACGAGCATGTCTTAGGAGGGGGCAGTGTTGCGCGCCTAAGTTGACGTCTGGCACTAGCGCCATCTAGTGTCGGATAACAGAGCGAGGAGAGCTTTCCAGAAAATGAAACGACTAATCTTTCAACCAATAGCGCCATCTAGTATCGAATTGAAGAACTAAGCTTTCTGGGAGCCTCACACTCGAACCTTCGGCGCCTGGTCGATTGGCGCGCGTATTTACTTGAATATTCTGGATGTTTCGGTGAAAAGGTGTATTTAAAGGCTCTGCAATACGCGATCGGGGCAGTATTGAATTTGGCGAGACAAGCGAAGCTTCGGAGCGAAATAAAGTGAATCAGTGTGATTAATTATTAGTGCCTTTTAAGTTTTAATTAGTGTAAAGTGAATTAAAGTGTTAATTTTGGTAATTCAATCGGCAGTTTTTATTGTCACGAACCCTAAGCTCGTAACAATATGTTTATAGTTAACTACTTATATATATATATATATATATATATATATATATATATATATATATGTTGATAGTACTATATTTATGATTTTTAAACGACACGTGATGTGCTTGACTGATATGATCGCTCGACTCGGACTGCGGGCTACGGCACTGTGCACGGTTTGCGCAAGTGTGTGGCCAGTCATTAACGCTCATATTGCCAGTCCTTTGACTCATGCCCAAAAAACTTACAAACAGGGAGCGATGATGACAGATACACGTAAAATCTTGAGTCATGAGCAATCGACCCTCTACATACGTGTTTCATTAGGTCGTCACTCTATCTAGTGAGAGGTCGCCCAACACTGCGATTACCAGTACAAGGGTACCATTCCAGAAATCAGTAAAAGTTGTTAATCGTCTGTCGGTGCTTCAAGCTATATGACAGGACGACCGCCTGGTTATCCGATGATGGAAAGGGTGTTGAGGAAATAAGGCACGTACTAAATGTCAGTGAATATTGTTACGAGCTTAGGGTTCGTGCCAATAAAAACTGCCGATTGATTTAACCAGATGGCACTAGTGCCACCAACTGTGGCGCGCAAGAATATGTAAGTGAATACCTGGCCGGTACGTAGAGATGTGGCAGCGGAGGCGCAGCGCGTCGAGATGCAGAGCGGGCTCGTCTCGCGCGAGACGCTCGCCCAAGCAGTACAGATTCTATCCGGATAAACGTTACCAAGCTTATCAAATTATCTTTAATAATTTCTTATGTTAACACTTACACTTGGTACACATCTAATAAAATAATTTTACGGATTTTATTGCATTTAATTTTAACTCCCGACATTTTTGAAGTGAAAACTTCTTTAGCGGCGTTGTACACTTTTTTTGTAATCGGTAAAAAATATTAACTCGCGTCAGGACACGTGACCTGATCGAAAATTCGTAAGACGGATGGAGAGTAGACAGCCGGCGCGGCGTAGGAGAAAAAAATTTTTTTAATGTAATATAAATTGTCATGTTTGTGTACGATAGCGCAATAAATAAATATTGTATTCTACCACATAAATTATAGTACTTTTAAACTGATAATTAAAGCAATTCGTGCAAAATTATTCTCTAACCATTCCAAAATATCAAAAATGCACAACGTTAATATTCAAGTTTTCACTTCTGCCGGCACTCCCGGAGTGCAACCCGTCGTTTTTTTTTATAGAGTAAAAGTGACAAACGAGCACACAGTCCAGCTAATGGTAAGTGGATGTTGTGATCCATAAACATCTACATTTATTCTCGATTAAGAATCAAAATGCAGAGGCGTTATCACCCCTGAATGCTATGATGGAATGCGTTGGGCAGATCGGAATCTGACCAACAAATATTTAATTATTGGACTACGACCTAGACTATAAGATAACGACCCACTTTATAATTTGTCTTCGGCATTTCACAAACCAGCGAGCGTTTACAAACAGACGACGCCGTTTGTATAATGACAAATCATACTCATCATCCTCAGGGGAAGATTGCGTTTTGATTCTTAATCGGTGATACATACTCGTAATATGAAAACGTCTATGGCCCACAGCATCCACTTAGAATCAGGTGGTCTGTGTGTTAGTTTGTAACCCTTATTCTTCAGTTTTATATGTACGTGGTAGAGCCAAGCTGCAGCCATATTAGTAGTATGGTTGTAGCACGAATGGGTCGGCTCGACCGAGGAAGTACACACTCACAGAATACCTGCGAAAAAAATCAGCTTAACGCTGCCGTGTTTCATATAGTGAGTGTATAGAAGCGGAGACACTTTTTACTGGAAACGAGGCACGGGTGACAACGCATCTGCATTTTGATTCGATATCCAAGATGGATGTAAATGTCTATGGGCTACAGCAATCACCATCAGGTGGACTGTGAGCTCGTTTTTCATCCTAATTCATAAATAAACCAGCCCGCAAAAGTCCACCCCTAATTCTATAAAAACGTCTTGGAGGAAACCATGTTGTAGTGATGTGTGTTTCCTACTGAACAAACGGTGATATAAGTGTGTCTGCTGTGTTCATAATCACGGATACATACGTTTTCAATGGACCATGTTAATTATAAACCAGTTTGCAATAAACACTCAACAGGACAAGACATTATTTTATTTTCCAGATCTATAGTCAGTGCAATCATCATCATTATCATCATCGTTACAATTCTTCACAAGTCCGCTGCTGAACATATGCCTTCCCCCGCTGTCGTAGTCCGCTGCGAAAAGAATGCCACGAAGCACGGTCCTGAGCCACCCGCATCCATCGACTTCTTATGTATCTTACCAGTTCGTTACTCCATCTAGTGGGGTGCCTTCCCACATTTCGCCTACCAGTACGAAACTGCCACTCGAGAACCTTGCTTCCTCATCAGTTGTTGGTTCTCTGAGCTATATGGCTGGCCCATTGCCACTTCAACTTTCTAATCCGTTGGGTTGTGTCGCCCAAGTAACTCATCAAAGCAGTATAACGGCCGACTTACAGCATTTCTGCATCGATTTCACATTTTAAATTAGGTTTATAGTAGCATTAAAACGTTCTTACAGCTACTGTAATGCTATTTTGGGCACAAATTATACGGCTTTAGGTCCTAAATATGTTCACAATAGTTGTTTAATTGCTTTACGGGCACATTATATTAGCATTACTTTTATTTCTTTCTTTATTTTTATGTTATTGAAAACCAATAACATGTTGAATTTACAAGAAGCCAATAACAAGATCTCACTAACAAAGTAACAAGTTCTCACTAATATAATATTATCTTAACACTAATAGTATTATGGCCAAAGAAGGTATCAATCGCATTAAAGATGTTATTATGGTAAATGAAGTTGCCAATCGCATTACAGAAGTATTATACTAGCAATATTTTTTATAATGAAGTTGTATTTATTGCATTACAAAAGCTTTTTGGACTAGCATTAGAAGTTAATAAAAAAATAATTGAAAGCATAGCAAAAAGCTATTTAAGTGTTCACAGTTAGATCTTAAATAAACCCGACGTCAAATTTGTAAAGTTTTTCGCTTTTTTGTTATTTCATGCCTTCAAATATTACAGCGCAATGAAATTTACTGTAAATGTCTATATGTATAAGCTTCATTGAAAATTTTCACGCGCTCTGTGTAAAATAACTAAAATAATTGTGTATTCCGAGTATAAAACGAACTTTGCATAATTAATAGAGATAGGCCGAATATTCGTTTTATATTCGGTATTCGGCATATTTACTGGTTTACCGAATATTTGTAATCGGCCAAATATTCGGCTAAACCACCGAATATTCGTTAAAGTGGTACTCAAAGTATCCACTGTATGGAAATGTACGAATTGAGTAATGCCATGTCTTTCATCATTTCACTGTTGAAAGTATATTTATTTATGGGTTAAATCTACTTGTATGTTTTTGAGACACCGTAGATTTATTTCCAATTATAGCAAATAGAAAGCTTGATAAAATTTTGTTTGGAATCAAACAAAGAATCATTAAAAGAAAACATTACTCTATTGCTTTTATAAATGGGTTCGAATGATAATATGGTATTTTGCTATGGGGACACGCGACTGACACTGAAATTATATTTATTTTACAGAAGAGGGCCATTAGAGCAATATATAATATAAAACCAAAAGAGTCACTGAGACAAAAATTTAAGGAAATTTATATACTTATTAACTCTGGCCTCTCAATACATTTATGAAAATGTAATGTACGTACACAAAAATAAAAGTAATTTTGCGAAAATAAGTGTATTCATTCGTAAATACTAGGAACAGACACAAGAGTGTACCAGTTAATCGACTCCACCGAGTCAGTAATTCATTCTTGGGGCGATGTATACGCTTTTACAACAAAATCCCAGAAAATATACAAAATTTGTCATACACGAAGTTCAAAAATGTTATTAAACTAAGTTTGTATAAAAAGGGTTATTATAATATTAAGGAATTTATGGATGATAATAACCCCTTGGAAGGGTGATCGCTACCAAGCTATTTCTAATTTGTCTTGTGTTGTTTATTGTAAACATCATTGTAAGCTATTATTGGAAAAAAATAGTCCAGCTGGGTTTCTTGCTGGTTCTTCCCAGGACAGAGGTTTTTTTTTGCGTACCAGTGGTAAATGAAAAAAGTGACTTTCAATAAGTATTGTTATAATCTACATTGAATAAAAAAGTTTCTGTTTCTGTTTCAATATTTACAAAATGGTGTCGGTATATAGCATCCCGGTGAGCCTTTAAAAAGACTTACTAATGCTGCAGTATAATTGCCGATTCACGGTGAACGTTTATTAGAGTTTATACGAATCTATGTTAACTATTCGCTTGTTAAAATTCTTCCTGTGGTACTTGGGCGGTTACTCTAGTACTGTTGGTACAAATTTAACCCTAAATACATTCAGTGTTTTATTTGTAAACAAGCGACCTGCCCCGGTTGATCTAGTTTTTGGTTTTCATAAGTTTGATGGATGGGTCTATTAATGTGGCGTAATTAAGGTTAATTTCGTTCGATCAATCTTAGCTGTGTGTGTGCGTGATCACTCTCTACCTGTTCGTAAAATTTCATTACAATCGGTTCTATTTCCCATCGAGTTTACCTGATATAGGGTCACTGTCGCTGTGGTCCTGCCTTTCCCTCCTCCAGCCCGCCTCAGGCGCTGGCGTATCAGCAGCTACGCCAAACAACTCGGAGACAGCTCCCGCCACCATTTTACGCGCTGATTTCGCCACCATCTGTTACCGTTAATATATATTGTAGCCATGTGTTGGCGGCGTAAATGGATCCACCACGTTATATTTTCCCAAAATCCTTTAAGATTTGGGGGGATATAGGGTGTATTAAAGTTAGGTGAAAACACTAGCGAAAACGACGTTCTGTTCTCCTTGACTATACAATAGTCTGTATTATGGGGATTCAGGAGATAATTAATATAATCAGGTGTTCCTTTGCGGAAATCCATTATATTAAGGATGCTAAAAATTAATTAGTTAAGATCCCCGCGTAATAAATAGAATTATGTGTAAACTAGGTAAAGTTTGACGAGCACCTCCCACCCTCCTTTAATAGCGTGCACAATCCCGTCATCACTAATCCCCGCACCACTACTTCCAACACCATTACACTAGGAGGACACATCACTGTCGATAAAACAACATGTGTTTCGAAATAAACAAGGCAACCTCAGGTGAAGTAGACCTGTGGCTGACCGCTAAGCGCTAAGCGGATCTTAGCTAATTGATTCATATCGTGAATGTTTTAATTTCATTGTACAAATGTACCCTTTGTATAATATACCAATATGCCGGATATAAAATGAATACCAGCGTAAAATTGAGTGTAGAGAAGCGGAGACTATTTTTACTAGAAACGTGGCATTCGATCTTAGTCCTCAGGCGTGACAACGCATCTGCATTTTGATTCTTAATCGAGGATAAATGTATATGAGTCACAGCATCCACTTACCATCAGGTGGACTGTGTGCTCGTTTGTCAACAACTCTGTAAAAAATATGTCATTGTATCCTAATTCGACTAGCTAGGGCGCCGAGAAAAAATTCCAAATCTGTAGCCTGTATGTGCACCGCGAACTAAAAAAGTTAGCAGCAGTAAAAAGTAAGTAGCAGTGTGTTACAGTTAGAGCATGAATGGGTGGGTACGACCATAGACTTAGGATTGTAATATATTCTAAATCTATTGGCACGACCAAGACTGGATCACACTCGCATATAATACCAGCGAAAAATAACAGAGTATTACTGCTGTGTTTCCGTTAGAGATGGGTCGAATATGGATTTCACCGAATACGAATATGCGGCCGAAAGTTCGGTGACACTTTTACCGAACCGAATATTCGGCCGAACATTATTCGGCAGGATCATTATGTCAAAACTTGTTACCGTAAAGCGCGTGGGATTAGCGCCAGATCGATCAGATCGAGTGTGGCGGGGGAGCAAGGGGCAGGCCCTTGCTTCCCCGCCACACTCGATCAAAGTAAAGTGAAATGTATTAATGTAATGTAATATTTTTTTGTTCTATTCTAAAACATTTTATCAAGCTTTCTATTTGCTATAATTGGAAACAAATCTATAGTGCCTCAAAAACATAACGCTATACTCGTACAAGTATAATCTGTAAATAAAATATACTTTCAACAGGAAAACTATGAAAGAAATGGCATTACTCAATTCGTACATTTCAATACAGTGGACACTTTGAGCACATGAGTATTCCTTACTTTGTGCTTTGAGTAACATATTCACGAACGTTCGGTGATTTAGCCGAATATACGAATATTCGGTGAAACTGTCGAATATGCCGAATACCAAATATGAAACGAATATTCGGCTTATCTCTAGTTTCCGTGTAGTAACGGTGTAAGAATACTCCTTACCCCATATCGTCCTTCCTGTGGGTCGACGACTTCCAGCCTCCCGAACAAGCCGGTTTCCGAAAAGACTTTAGTACCATAGACCACATACATACCCTTCGGCAAATTGTACAGAAGTCCGAAGAGTACAATCTGCCACTTTGCCTGGCGTATGAGGACTATGAGTAAGCCTTTGATTCCGTCGAAATTTGGGCAATGCTACAGTCTCTTCAGCGGTGCCAAGTTGACTGTCGGTATATCGAAGTGCTGAAGTGTTTGTACAGTAGGGCTACGATGGCTACCCGAGTACAGAACCAGAGTACAAAACCTATCCAACTGCAGAGATGCGTAAGACAGGGTGACGTTATTTCCCCGAAACTCTTCACCGCTGCCTTGGAAGAAGTTTTTAAGCTACTGGACTAGAAAGGATACGGTATTAACATCAATGGCGAGTACATCACTCACCTTCGGTTTGCCGACAATATAGTCCTTATGGCAGAATCGCTGGAGGACTTAAGCACTATGCTCAATGACCTCAATAGTGCCTCCCAACGGATAGGTCTTAAGATGAACATGGATAAAACAAAGATCATGTTTAATGTCCATATCATACCTATGCCGGTAGTTGTTGGGAGCACTAATGCTCGAAGTTGTTGACGAGTACGTTTACCTGGGACAAATAGTCCGACTAGGTAAGTCCAACTTCGACCGAGAGGTCAATCGACGGATTCAACTCGGCTGGGCAGCGTTCGGGAAATTACGACACATCTTCTCGTCATGTATGCCTCAAAAGCTGAAAACTAAGTTGTACAACCTGTGCGTGTTGCCAGTTATGACCTACGGAACCGAGACGTGGTCCTTCACTGCTGGCCGTACGAGGACGCTCAAAGTCGCTCAGCGAGCTATGGAGAGGGCTATGCTCGGAATTTATCTGCGTGATAAACTTAGAAATGAGGATATCCGCAGTAGAACCAGAGTGACCGACATAGCCCAACGGATTAGTAAGCTGAAGTGGCAATGGGCCGGCCATATAGCTCGAAGAACCGACAACCGTTGTGGAAAAAAGGTTCTCGAGTGGCAGCCTCCTACCGGTAGGCAAAGTGTAGGGCGATCACCCACTAGATGGAGTGACGACCTGGTAAGACATGCAGGAAGTCGATGGAGATCGATGGATGGTGCTTTGTGGAATTCTTTGGGGGAGGCCTATGTTCAGCAGTGGACTTGTGAAGGGCTGTACTGATGATGATGATGATGATGTGGGTGTTGTAAGAGGCGACATAGGGAAACTGTGGCAGGTGATGGGTAGCAGCATCTTCATGACTACAACTCAAAGCAATAAATAGAGGTAATCAGTGGGGAGGGCCTATTTGTTCAGCAGTGGACTTTTATGGGTTGTCATGGATGGAGGATGGACTGCTGTGTTTCGTATGGTGAGTGTAGATAACCGGAGACCCTCTTTACTGGTAACGAGACATCACCACCCCATATTCCATACCGAGCAACAATGAATATGCATTTTGATTCTTAACTGCGGTTTTATAAAGTGCTCTGTGCTTAATAGTCACTTTACATTGAAAATATAGTAAGTTAATATAATCCGAATAACTTAAATATCTTCTTACGCTAGTATTGACGTCTATGAAGGGAACATGATCCAAATTAGCGGCCTGCTCAGCTAAATTCTTCAGACGTGGGTCATTGGAATCAGTTTTGTCGGCTAACACTATCAGTTTGAAAAGAAAATCTTCGAACACTTCCTCTTTGATGGTAGCTGAAAATTTACAAACCATCGAATTGAAATGATTGATAGGTAGAAAAAAAATTATTTGTTCGATCGTGAAGTTTCTACTACTCCGTAAGTGGCCGACACAATGGCCGAAGATGGCTGTTACTACCTATAGTGTGAAGGCCTGAGTACGCTATAGGCTATACACGGTCATTAGGCCGTAATAAGACAGCATCGCCCCTAGGCGAAAAGGTGTTGACACAATAATGCATGTCTCGCTCATAGCTGTCTGGCGGAGCCTCAGATCATATAAACAACAGGAGATATGGCAAGGAGGCGTGGCACTTGCGAACGCATCTGGCCGCAAAGCGGCCTGATGCCAGTTTCGGTAATTAGTCGAATGTCAAAATGCCGCGTTGTTCAGTGATTGTTTGCAAAAATAACAGCTGTATTGTAAATTACATGAAAGATGGCATCTCATTTCACACGTCAGTACTAAAATATTAATGTTTTTCTTATTCAATTTATTAAAACATTACTTCGTGGTACTAGAAACACGATGAAAAACCAAATCAAATGTTTTCATTAGGAACAAAAACCACATGTCGATTTGTACTAAGCAAGCAAATCGACATGTGAATCAGCTGGTCTAATAGCGCAATGGATAAGTGTTTTACTGATACTCTCACTCACACGATAGTTTCGTGAAGCAGCCGCTGCCGGCTTTTGTGAGTTAGAGATGTGAATGCGTGTGTGTGCGCTACTGCGTATCTATCAATTTAATGAACTGCATGTGTAGTAGTTGGCGAGTGGCGGGGGCAAACTGGAGACACTGGGTTGCGATACATTTTAACTACCGGGCATATCTCCTGTTGTTTATATGATCTGAGGGCGGAGCACTTACGATGGACGTCGAAGTAATCACGGCCATGGCAATTAATTTGTATAGGTACTGAATACAACTAGTATAGAAGTGTGTACACAGAACAAAGTAATGAAGAACTTGTCGCAAAAGACGGTGGTGGCTGCTGACAATGGAACAGCGTCAGATTCAAGCCAAAATAGCAATCAGAATGACAAAAACATTTTTACCAACAGTTTTCAATATGTTAGGTGTCAAGATGATCATTATTAGGTTAACAACATCAAAATACATTATACTTCAATGGTTACTAGCAAAATGTTCAACCGTAAGCATCTATAAGTATATAGCAGTTATAATAGTCAAATGTATCACAAATGTCTAAAAATTTATAATCAATTTTATTTCTTGAAATCTACACGGATATTTATTAATTAATATACCTATCTAAAAAATATTTTTAGCAATATTTATTTTCCTCAATGTTTTTGATATTAAAGGGGTTCTGGATTTACTGGGCGACTGTGTAAACACCACCGGCCACGTTACGCCACCATCCCAAAAATCACGGACCACCTGAGTAGTAGAGTCCTTAAACTAATGCTCGACACACACGGTCAGTTAAACTGACGTAAATCCAAAAACAGACCATTGGTGTGAAATCATAAGTTGAAATTTTTAATTGACGGCAACTCACGGATTTTTCGGGCGTTCGGTCAGTTAAACTGATCAGTTGAACTGATGTACATCCCAATACTGACCGTGAGTGTGAAATTTGAAGCTAATTAGTGAGGAAATTGTTTTGGCTTACATCCATTTGAACTGATCAGTTTAACTGACCGTGTGTGTCGGCCATAAGGTTTGTTTTAAAACTTACTAAAACTGCACTGCTACGTGCTCAAAGAGCTGTACTGAAATTCGCAACATTCCACCCTATTCCATTCACGACCCATCACTTATATAAATTCTGTTATGTCCTCTCAATGCGTCAATATTATATTCGTTATGAATACGTTACTAAAACTGCACTCAAAATTGGCCTACAGAAGAGCGGACACTGATAAAAGACACAAAGGTAAAGTAACATAAGTGATACTAACATTAGCATAATGCATTCTTTCATCCTCAGTATAATCAAGTCAATACAATTTTGTCTACTATTAAAAGTGGCAGATAGTAAAAATGTAATTCGAATTTGATTACAAAATTTGTTTACCGATTTTGATTATTCTTTTTTTATCTAAAAGTTCGTGCTTCTCGTGTGGTCCCATATAAATTATAATCTAGATCTGACCAGTAGTTTTTGAGTTATCTTTAATAATGTGTATTTATTTCACTTCGAATACACTGATTCGGTCGTATTGAAGTCGTTTGTACAATTTTTTTAATTTTACCACTTGTTCTTCAAAGAACGCGAGGTCCATAGGCAGTTGTCTGATAACAATTTAATGAGGTTATTGTATCGCGAGTCGCCGTTAAAACCTCTCGAATGCATCTCAAAGAGTATATTATAATCACTAAAACGTCTGTAATGCTGCATCCTATCCTAGATCATATTTTATCACATAGAACATAGGTAGTCTGATGTCCACACGTGTAAGTAGGTACCATATAATCAGTAATATATGGTAGGTACTTTCAGGGAGCACCAATTATACACTGAATTTCCAGTAATCAAGACAGCCGGTAGATGGACAACGTTCACTCACACTGGCGTTTCGCGTAGAAGTGATGCGAGATGGCGCTGTCACCAACGCGTTGATTCATTTCTTTTAGTTCCGGAAACCGGAACACCATACGTAGTTATAGTTATTATACAGTAGCTGTCTTTAAACTGTCATCGATCTAATTCGTTAACCTGCTAAGTCCATTTTTGGCAAAATTTACTTTTTATAACATTAAAAAGTTCAGTCTAATATCTACCGTAACATTTAAGGAATAACAGCGATATTAGCCTAAAACGTGACAAATGCTATGCCCGAATAAACTGCTTTTTAACCACCAGCCAATCTCCACAACGCAAACCTGCTAAATCCTATTAGGGCCTCAGTTTTGCACTGACAACGTTCTCAAACCCACATGCCGTTTGCGACGCGTCAAATTTTATTGTGTTTTAGTCAATATTTGAGGACTTAAACAACTAATTATGAACTAGTTAGCGAAATGTAGAAGCTCTCTGCATAAGTTTGTTTTCGAATTTATTTGAAGACATAAATTTGGCCCAAAAAAGATCAATGCGAAAAATGCACCTGTTATAAAGTAGGAATAGTTACAGAAGAAGAATACAAAGAACATATTGAGAGAAGTAAACAAGCACGAAAGGAAAAATATGCGGATAAAAAGGGAGAAAATTACGTTTTCACGAATTTGATTACAAAATTTGTTTTACGATGATACGAAATAGTTGCTGAGTGTTAACGAAATTAACCCTATTTGGTAAGATCATTATAAGAAACGGACATTATTTGATAGTGTATCATATTAATGTAGTTTTTTAGATTAAGGCTTAATTGAATTAATTTTGTTGAATTTACTTGTTTGAATTCGTTTATCAGTTTTTTTTAAATAAAAATAAATAAATAACTAAAATGATTATATAAAATACTCACGGCTTGTTTGAGTTATTAATTGTATTGAAGCATTAACGTTTTGACCAGTTAATGTCTGGTCTGAAATTTCAGCCGGTATTGTATCTGGTCTCGGTACGTTCAATGCTTTGGCATCTACTGTTGAATTTGTGTTTTTAATATCCAAGTCGCTTTTAATAGGCGCAGCCATGTTAACTTTTGTATCAATTTGAGGAACAGTTAGTTGATTAGGTGTTGATTGCACTTGAGTTTGTAGAGGTTTAGTAGACGCCGTTTTTCCGTTTACCAAAAGATCCGGTGTTGCTTGGTTTTGAGCTGGATCCTGACCTGAAAAAAGTTATAAAGCTTGAAATAATTATGAATATGCCATCAAAAGATAAAGATGTACGAATATCCTTATAACGATGGCGAACCTAGTTTATATCCACCGGCGCGGCGTGTTGTTTGGTCGTCATTAAAAGAGGACCAAAAATTAGGTTATTAAAGATAGGCATTGTCAAAAATAGGGTCCATTTGATTCAAATAATTTCGTTTTTAAATGCGATATGAATCTACTTTTAAACAAGGTCTGTTCATACGATAATCGTATGATGGTTTTTTTTTCAGTATTTTACGATTATCGTATGATTTATATATTATATACATGTGGGCCATGGTAGCTTATGGATTAAGCGCTCGCTGTAGATTTCACAGTACGTGAGTTACCCGGGTTCGATTCCCACCGACACCAATTAAATTGGTAATTGCGATTTTATATGCTGATTTACCATGTGCTCAGCGATAAAGGAAAACATCGTAAGGAAATTTGTATATCTGAGAAATAAGAAAAAAATATATCGAAGACATGTGAAGTTCGCCAACACGCATTCGGGCAGCGCGGCGGACACTTCCCTAAAACCCTCACAGAAATGAGAGGAGACCTGTGCCTGTGTGTGAGACGTATATTATACCTCTACAGGTATTACATTCTTTGTATCTTGGTAACTTTATACATAATATACAGTTAGTTGTGAATGTAAATGGAATTTCATATAATATATTACACAGTTGCATATAAATTATGTATCTCTTCGTGTTTCGACTTACCATCACTGATTCCAAGTTCAAACTCTGTAAATGCCATGACGTTTAAAGCTGAAGATAATGCTGTACCGACACCATTACCAGCTTCACCGCTTAATGCCGCTTCTGCGGCTGTCACACAGTCCGGTGGTGGGGGGCCTCGCATTCTATCCAAATAAATATTTCAATAAGAAGGTATCAAGAAATAATAATAATGTCCTATACACCGAATTTCGGCCACGGTGGCCAGTCTTAACGAAACTTAGCCATCTGCGCAGGACAGGATTATAGTGCCCTAGTGTAGCAGATACAAGTGCACTCTCTATTCCATAATTTTTATATTCCGTTGGTATGGTAGTCTGATACGACCGGAGCGAGATCAGGCGCAAGACCAATGGACGGACTCCGGGCTGTTTCTAAGAATATCTTGAGAAAAACCCAATAACTGATTTTTCTCGATCTGCAAATCGAACCCGGGACCTCATGATCAGCAATAGCATTAACGACTACGCCAACACGGCAGAACACTCATTCAGTGACATAATTATCTTGGTCGACTATTATTCGACGCTATCATAGTAAAAACCATAGAATACTACACACAATAGAATGGCTTTCAACCTTATTTTGTATAAGTCACCGGGAGCACACATATAAGCAATTACGTCTTATTATCACTACTAAAAACCCGAATCGCTGTAATGACAGACTGAGTAAATTTAAACATTTTAGACTTTTGATTAATGTGCAAGATCATCATTAAAAAAAAAGTTTAAACTTTAATACATATTTATTTGTAAATAGTGTGCAATTTGGCATTTTCTAAATAATTTGAATGCGAAATTTGGAAACGCTTGTAACGTCAAAACACATCTCGTGTTGACAGTTATAAGTGTGAATTGACGTGTTAGTGACATGTTAGTGGCTACACGGGCTACGGCCACTCCCCCGTTCTATTATGTATGTATTATAGTATTTTATGATAAAAACAGTCTGTTTTTACTATGACGCTATCAAGTACGAAGTACATTATGTCTCAAAAGTTCACTCAATCTATGACTTATGCGTGTGATTTTGTTGCGTTTTGTGGATGCGTTACGTTACAGTTTCAGTTCAGTTCAGTATTTTTACAGAACAAAATAAGCTATGTGTGCATAATATCCTTGCTAGCACACAAAAACGTGCAGTTGCGAAAAACAGGCCGTAGCAAACTGCACTACATACTACTGTCACAGTGTCGGCCTAATTCGTTAACCTGCTAAATCTATGTTTTCATAGTTTACAGGATGAAGAAAAAACTGAATAATATCTTTATTAATTTCGTATTCAAAATTCTGAAAATCCCATTGGTGTCTATAATTTCTCTTGATACTTTAAAAATATAATTATTAGCATAACTTATACGGGTACGTACGGTATAAAGGGTCTTTTTTATTTGTTGCAAGTCTTCAAATTTTCATGCAGTAATTTTACGTCCGTTCTGGTGAATTGAGATAGTTCAGTAATCTCGCAACGTTTACATTGCAAAGATTGTTTTTGTGGTAAACTTTGCCATTCATCCTTATAGAGCAAGTTTTAAACAGAATTGATCCATTGCTTTCGAAACGTAGTGCACTTATGTCAGTGACTTTTAGATCCCCTCCTGGACGAATACTTTTATAAAACTGAATTTTGTCGAATTTTTTGAAGTAAGTGTGGGCCTAATATGTTACTGAACAAGGTACTGGGCATTTACGAGCAATAGATATGTATTTCGCTGGCACATTTATGTCTTTAGGTGACGTTCTACTTATAGTGGAATGCATTGAATCGGCCTCAATTTGGGTGTGACCAGTCTCTAAAAATGTTTGTTCCATAGCTATATTTTTGCCTTGCCTCATGACTATGTTCAAAAGAGCGTTAGATAAAATATAATTTCTAATTTGGTAAGTGCAACCGTCACTGTAAATTATAATTGTTTTTTTCCCACCTAGCATTAACTTCAGAACGTTTTTTTTTCTAAAAAGGGGGTTGACCAAATGGAGTAAAATTCTTCAACATTAAGTCCACCTTCTACTTGGAGTCCACCTTCGAATTCTTATTCCATATGAAACAGAAGCCATCTTTATTTTTTATACTAAAAAGTAAAGATTGTGAACTTGCAGCTTCGTTTTATAACGTACTGACATTCGATTTTTGTGCCATTAGTGCAGCCTGTAAGTCAACTGTGAAAACGTAATTTTCTCCCTTTTTATCCGCATATTTTTCCTTTCGTGCTTGTTTACTTCTCTCAATATGTTCTTTGTATTCTTCTTCTGTAACTATTCCTACTTTATAACAGGTGCATTTTTCGCATTGATCTTTTTTGGGCCAAATTTATGTCTTCAAATAAATTCGAAAACAAACTTATGCAGAGAGCTTCTACATTTCGCTAACTAGTTCATAATTAGTTGTTTAAGTCCTCAAATATTGACTAAAACACAATAAAATTTGACGCGTCGCAAACGGCATGTGGTTTTGGGAACGTTATCGGTGCAAAACTGAGGCCCCAATAGGATTTAGCAGGTTTGCGTTGTGGAGATTGGCTGGTGGTTAAAAAGCAGTTTATTCGGGCATAGCATTTGTCACGTTTTAGGGTAATATCGCTGTTATTCCTTAAATGTTACGGTAGATATTAGACTGAACTTTTTAATGTTATAAAAAGTAAATTTTGCCAAAAATGGACTTAGCAGGTTAACGAATTAGACCGATGACAGTTTAAAGACAGCTACTGTATAATAACTATAACTACGTATGGTGTTCCGGTTTCCGGAACTAAAAGAAATGAATCAACGCGTTGGTGACAGCGCCATCTCGCATCACTTCTACGCGAAACGCCAGTGTGAGTGAACGTTGTCCATCTACCGGCTGTCTTGATTACTGGAAATTCAGCGTATAATTGGTGCTTCCTGAAAGTACCTACCATATATTACTGAATATATGGTACCTACTTACACGTGTGGACATCAGACTACCTATGTTCTATGTGATAAAATATGATCTAGGATAGGATGCAGCATTACAGACGTTTTAGTGATTATAATATACTCTTTGAGATGCATTCGAGAGGTTTTAACGGCGACTCGCGATACAATAACCTCATTAAATTGTTATAAGACAACTGCCTACGGACCTCGCATTCTTTGAAGAACAAGTGGTAAAATTAAAAAAAATTGTACAAACGACTTCAATACGACCGAATCAATGTATTCGAAGTCAATTAAATACACATTATTAAAGATAACTCAAAAACTACTGGTCAGATCTAGATTATAATTTATATGGGACCACACGAGAAGCACGAACTTTTAGATAAAAAAAGAATAATCAAAATCGGTTCACCCAGAGAAAAGTTGCGAGTTGTGAGGTAACAGACATAAAAAGCACTCAAATTGAATACTCCTTCTCCACTTTGAAGTCGGTAAAAAAGCCTTATAACGTGATGTTGGAAGTTAGAAAAAGGTAGAGATAGTGCTAAAATATTAACAATAGTAGAAAAACATATTTTATGGGTAATTAATTATTTCATATAATTTTATAGGTAATACTTAGTTACTGTTATCTAAGTGTTTGATTAAAACTTAAAAATTAAATTTAGTATAGTTACTGAATTTTCAATGTAAACAATCACTGGGAACGGATTTTAAGATAGTACCATTAAAAGAAAATTGATGTTCCGCATTAAAATATTATCATGTGCCCAGCGAAGTGATTGGATTTCAACTAGTTATATTATAATGAAACTGTATGTTAAAAATAAATAGGTGAATATACTTGACACAATATCCTTACAAAATTCTATTGGAATACCTTTCATACCATTACTATCTGCTTATCAAGAAACAATAAAAGGTGAGAAAAAAGGTATAGATAGTGCTAAAATATTATCAAAAGTTGAAAAATATATTTTATAGGTAATTAATTAGACATCACACTTGATAATATATTACTTATTTTATACAGGGTTATTTTTCAAAGAATAGAGCGCAAAAAGCAGAGAAGGTTCAGATAAGGAATATAGACGAATGGTGAAGAAAAATTAATTTAAAAAATCTCAATCATTCTGATGATGATTCTGATTTTTTTTTGTGATAAATAGTATTTATCTTTTAAATTCAGAATGTTGTTAATTTCATTCATAAACGTCTACTATTTTACTACGCGCGCACACATTTGAAAGGGTCGCACAGTAGACAAAAACGTTGTGGATTGAAACGCGCACTTATGAACACGCGTACGCGTATTTGTTGCCCATAATTCACATTAAATATGGGATAATTACAAATAAGATTAGAAGCCTTATTTACTCGTATTTTCAAAAACTGCAATAGCGGTACATCGTGATTAATATATTTGAACTTCTGTTTAAAATTTAGCTACTCTTTGAAAAATAACCCTATATAATTTTTCGACTTACGGTAGAGGCGCTTTCGTTGGAGTAGAAATAGAGACGCGACCCCACATGAGCCTTCTAAGTTCCTCTCCACTAATACCTCGTTTTCTTAATTCAGCAATAGTCACTTTTCCAACTCGCTGTGTTAAATATTAAAAATAATTTAAAATTAATTTATTGAAAGATAACGTCAAAATCATTAACAATTGTAGTTATTGTAAACTGATTAAATATATATATATATATATATATATATATATATATATATATATATATATATATATAAATATAATATTAAATTTAATGCACAAAAAATATTTTATCGATAATGTAGTCCTAAGTTTTGTAGCTTACATATCAAGATACAAAATGTTATTCCATAGAGATTTCTAATATTTATGCTAAAATACACCAGGAATAAAACCATTCTTACAGATTTTATCGGGTTTACCTTCTAGTGCAAGCCAGATATAAATGAATATCCAGACCGATGAGTTGGAGCAATGGCAAAGATACATCTGGTACTGAAATCTTCAATGGAATCTACTCTATAATGGAAGAGTGTTGAGTGTTGAATGTTGAATGGAGAGATGTTCAGCAGTCGTCAGTTAGGAGCGATGAAGCTCTTAATGTTTTACAAAAAAAAAAACACTTTAAATTACAAAAGAAAACGCGTTATTGGCGTGTCGCTGTTACCTTCCAGTTAGCGAGAGCACACTTGCGTTGCTTCCCGCGCGTCTTGGCTTTGCTTTTGATAACCATGACGGCGCGTTGCTCGTAGCGTGGGTCGTCCGATGGCCCCAGTCCTATTGAGTATTCCTGTAGATAGCGGTGAGCATCCTCTTGAGCCACCGACTGTTCCAGGGCAACTACTATTTTCGCCCACTGTTACGATAAGAAGAGATCTATCATTTATTAAGTAGTTATTTATCAAAGTTCATTTGTGGTGTAGTGGCAGTGTAAGAATATCCAACAACCCATATTATCCCGTGGGTCAGAAGAAAACAAATCCGGAGACGGGAAGCAGCGTCTTCCCAATAACGAGTAAAAAATGCGGTTGCCAGCCCACTTGCCAAGCATGGCAACTAATGCGACTATGGGCCTATGAGGCAGCTTTGGGGGAAGGCCTATGTTCAACAGTGGACTTTATTAGCCTGTATTTTTAATTCCGGTATTATTTTAGAACAGGTAAATTGCGTATACGAGAAAAATAACTTTTAACATAATAAAATATTTGATCAAACTTTATAATTGAATTATTTAAAAAAAAACATGCGTGCACCTCACACGCGATAGAAGTGAAACCTGTGTTTTAAAAAGTTTTAAAAAGTGACTGTGTATTAAAAAGTGTACATAAAAACCTTTAAATAAGGGTGGCGCCACTATAGCTGCGGGATAAATTTTAAAGAACGCTCGGTGCGTTCTTTAAAATTTATCCCGCAGCTATATATAAAATATTAGTGGGATAGATGACTTTTCGATGTTATATTTACTAAATAAAATTATTTTAGATTTTAGAGCTACTGAGTAGTTTAGCAGTACACTTAAACCGTCAATAACTGCTAAGTTCATTTCATCCCAGTAGCTACTCCAGCGCTGTTGTGGAGAGTTTTTGAACTGTTATTTACTGCTTACAGGTGACCACTTTTTCAACTATTTTACTATGGGAGTTCGAACTCCTTACTTTTACACTCCATACTTCAAATGACATATAAAATACAAATACTTTAAATGATTTATTTAATATTATAATTTAAACCACAAGTTCGGCATAAAATACTTATAAGATATACAATCCTATAAATATATATATATATATATATATATATATATATATATATATATATATATATATATATATATATATATATTAGACACCGATATTATATTACTCTTTTCGATATACCTTTTATAGTACTCACTAATTACAAAAAGATTTATATCAATTTTACTTATTACGAAGTTTAGGTTTGGCCGTTCTTCACCGCTTGTTAATCCATCGGTACACGACACCGTCGTACCTTTATTGAACATACCGCGTCGTAAGCGACGCCGTTTCGGCGGCGTTTACGAATTTTTTCAGGCGAGCATTGAGCTACAATCTATAATGCTTCCTATCTCATTTTCTCCCACATTAAATCTTATGAATTTATGTGTCGGTCTCTTTTTACTGTCGCTTTTTCGTTTCATAGACTTTCAAATCACAACGATGCTAAAGATGTTATCGCTTCAAAAATACTTTTCTTATACCATTAGACCTACAAAAATGGGTAAACTGAGTAGAGTTTTATCTCAACAAAAATGTGATTTACATTTTAGTCAAGTTCTTCAGTAATTTGCCCATGTTTATAAAATAAATCTAGATCGTCCCCTAACCTTTGTTTGGTAATTCCAGGTTTCTATTTCATTACTGCGGTCCAAATTGTGGACACTTTTACGCCGTAAACGAAAAAAATATTTTTTAACCCCGACATCTTCATATATTTAAGTAAACAGCAATATTTGTGACGCTGAACGTAACTAACTATAAAATACAAAAAACGTAAACGTACGTACTTAGTAATTTTATTCTAAAAATACTCACCTGTTTGACCCATTCTTTCTCGGATTGTTCGATGACGTGCGCATACGTGTTACCCATCATAGCGATGAGCATATTCAGCAGTAAGATAGGCACAAACACCATGAAAAGCGCAAAAACTGCCTTCGCGAGGTTCGGGTATGTCGTCATGGAAAGGTCTGAGTACTGAAATGCAAAACATATACAGTTTAATGACCATATAGTGTTGGCTCTACAAGGAACGTCCAACCGTCTACTTAACTCTTTATCATTTGTCAAATATACTGGGTGACCTTTTTTACCGTCTGGAAAAATAGGATGTAACATGGGAACGGAGTAGAAACCTGGCACGAAGTATTGCATTGATATTTTACAAAAAATAAAAACAAAAATTTTGCATTAAATAAATAAATTTATTAAAATCTATCGAAATTTAAGTCATATCTACCCTACTTTACGAACAGCAACAAAACAATAATTTAGTAGGCATCTTTGACCTTGTCACTTCGCAGGGTTACACACTAGGGTGGATATGATTTAAATTTCGATATATTTTAAGTAATTTATTATTTATTTCAAAATTTTTGTTTTTGTATTATTTTGTAAAATATCGGGACCATAGGCTTTTAATCCGTTCACATGTTACACCCTAGTTTTTCCAGAAGGTACAAAAGGTCACCTGTATGTAAATAGTAGTGGTGCAGATTTCACGGTTCGTTTGGGTTCGCCCGACGTTCACCAGTGGCATCAGTCAGTGGCGTAGTAAGGCGGAGTCTGAGGGAGCCATGGCCCACCCAATAAAAAAAAATTATAAATTTGTCACAACAATACAGTAAGTATTAAAATTTAAATAGGTAGCTTATAATTAGTTGTAACAAAACTGTCTGTGACTGTTGTAACGGTAAACCCAATACTCCTGCTATTCTCAAACAACCTTTGCGCACGCAACCTTAAACCGTAAAAAAAATCGTAAAGCTAGTTTTATAACGCCTTAACGTATATGATACACTGCGGTAAACAAAATTAGAAAAATATATGATATTTTTCAGGATATATGCTAGTTGCATAGTGTATTAAAAACATGAAACTACTAATTTGATACGATATAAAAAAATCGCGCAGTTACATCAAAAATTTTTAGTGACGAATAAAAACCATACTAATATACATGCAATAATTCTGATTTTTTGTCAGATTATTCTAAAAGCAAGATATTAACGTAATAGTGTTTTAATTTCTTGGTTCATTCAATAGATTTTTTAAATCGCATATTCTTATTTCTGAGCATAATACTTGCATACATATGCACATTTGCGTAAACGCTTCCTATGTACCGACATACGACAGCACCAGCTATAATATAGCTTCCCAGCTTGCTATAGGCAACGCCACGAGTCATGGAAGTGCGCAGAACCGAAAAATAGGTGTCGGCACGGTGAGGTGTAAGGTACGGGGAAACGAAACCATAGCAACGGGCGACGCGCTACTCCCAAGTAGTTTCTCCCTGCGTCCCGTCGCCCGCGCACCTTCTTGTGTCGTCTTGTGTAGTATAGATATCGAAAGTGTTAGCGACTACCTGTTATAAAATTTTAAACTTTTGCGATTATTTTTGTACTTTTAAAAATATTGTTCTATAATAATTTCAAATAGTGTGCAAATATTTATTACTTTATAAATTAATTTTGGGACTATTTAAAATAGCGTAATTCGTAGTATATTGTATAAAGTTGTAAATATTTTGTTATTTTCTACAAGATGATTTTTTTTGCAAATTATTACATGTAAAATATCCTTATAATCGAAGGCTATCGCATAGTATAGTTTAAACAGCAATTACAAATACAAAAATACTTAAAAAAAATTAAAAAAATCATTTTTATAAATGGGCAATAAAGTGGAACCCGTTACGAGGACTAAAAAACGTTCATATAAATTAAAAGCCCAACGTATGAATGATATTATAAGGTAAGAACATTTTATTATTACTAAATATTTATTTTATAACAAAAAACTAGAATGTTAGAAACTATCGAACTATATTACTAACGTAAGTAATACCTCAATGTAAGAAACGGCTTTATTTTTACAGGAGTAAGAAAGCTGGAAATATCAAAACGGAATTTATTTCCATTGCGTAAGTACCTACTACAACTTTTCTAAGCTTAAATAACAATAAAAGAAACTAAAAATACCCAATGTTTTTGTTAAAAGTGTAAGATCTATGTCTCACTTACGCGCCATCTATTAGCACACTCAGGCGTAACCTCCCTAAACCGTTAGGGTTAAACCTCATGTATGCCTTGTGTGATAATTGCTATAAGTATGATCGTTAGATGGAATCATTCAAGGTTACTTAGCTCTTGCAATAATAAATAAAAAAAAACTAAAACAATAAATGAATAAAACAAAAATACGGAAATTTTCACTACTTTAATTTATCACTTATAAGAGCCACACAGAGCCTGGGACTGTTGTTGAATTAGCCATTTATGGCATCTTTGCCGGAAGATAGATGATATAGGGTAAATCTCCAGATTTTAGTAGTGGCGAATTTAAAACACCCCCTGGCCAGTGTTGCTGTTTCAGCGCATTTGGCGCTAGATCTAGTGCCATTCTAGGGTCTATAGCTTTATTTTTAAATATCTACGTGCTAAAAATATCTAATCTAAGTCTATAGCGCTTTTTTTAAATACCTATACGATATTTAATATCGATAAGATATTTAGAAAAAGCGCTTTAGACCCCAGAATTGCACTAGATCTAGCGCTAAATATGCTGAAATGTCAACACTGCCATTGGCTCCAAAATGTATAAAGTATGGAGTGTAGAAGTAAGGAGTACCAACTCCCATAGTAGAATATGTAATTGAAAAAGTGGCCATCTGTAAGCAGTAAATAACAGTTCAAAAACTCTCCACAACAGCGCTGGAGTAGCTACTGGGATGAAATGAACTTAGCAGTTGTCGACGGTTTAAGTGTGCTGCTAAACTGCTCTAGTGAGCAGTCCATAGTATAAATATAAAGACTTACACTGTAATCACCGAGAGTTATTTGAAATAATGCCATCCATGTGCTCGGGTAACTCGAGTATAACGTTGACTGCACATTAGGAAAACCTGTAATAAGCAAATAATTAATCGTTATTAAAAACACTAATAAAAATAATATTAAAACATGAAATTATAAATTACCCATGTTACTTATTACATGGAGCCAAGCTGCAGGGAAAGACCACGCTTTCACAGAATACCAGCGTAAATAGGTTTCGTATGGTAGTGTACAGAAACAGAACCAGAGACCCTTTTAACTGGAAACGGGGCATTCCATCTTAGTGCTCAGGGGTGACAACGCATCTGCATTTCAATTCTTTAAAGATACAACATGTAGGTGTATACGGGCTACAGTATGCACTTACAATCAGGTTGACTGTGTGCTCGTTTGTTACTTTTATTCTATAAAAAAAAACATGATTACAATCCATTTAGTGGATTTTATTGGACATCAAGACCAGGTTCGCACATAATGCTAGTCTAACATAGCAGTCTTATGGTAAATGACTAGAGTCGGAGACTCTCTCCGCGTCTGTATTCTGGTATACAGTTACATAGATAGATTTAGGTGTGGGAGGCACAGTATTCACTTGCCCTTGTACTTGACGATCACTCTTGCTTTCAGAAAAAAAAAACTATTTTGTACAAATGAATGTTTGCGTCTATCATTAATTCGATTACGACGAAATTGTATTTTTGTTTGTTTTTTAATTATGTGTTTCCTATATTAGTCTACTATTACGATGAAGCTTCGTTGTAGGTTTTTGACTTTGAAGTTTTTGGGAGTTTTTAACGCCAGCTTGAGCCAGCAGACAGTTGTGACGATCATAGAATACTATAATACACAATAGAATGGCTATCAACTTTATTTTGTACGAGCCTTGGCGTCGCCAAACCCGATTTGCTGTGTTGACAGACTGAATAAATTTACCCATTTTAGACTTTTGATTAATGTTCAAGATCATCATTAAAAAAGTCGTTTAAATTTTAATACATATTTATTTATAAATAGGTTGCAATTTGGCATTTTCTAAATAATTAAACACATTTAATTATAACACAGGAGTAGCAATGCGCCGCCGGTCAAGTTCCCTCCAAAACCAAAATAGCGGATAGTTAAGCACAAAAGTTTACCTGCCCAAGTAATACAGGAAGGATTTTAGCAAACGAATAATAAACTCATGTAGAACTTAAGGTCCGTATAAACTCTTTTATAAGTTCACCGAGCATCTTGACGCTTTATATTGGTATTTCATAACCATGATGTTGCTTTACACTGTATAACGGTTGGTTATTGGCATATCAAAATGCTTTTGTAAAGCCTTTAGTTTTAGTGTGGCAAACCACAACGCAGCTGTACTATGCGTAAAACTTTCAGCTGTTTTTAGTGCCTCAGGGTCTACAATAGAATCTTTATATAGTAAAATAATGTCTACTGCTGCTTAATAGCATAAACTTGTACCATTATGATGCACCGTAATTTCGTTATACAATTTTGTAATGTACTTAGTGCCTTTTGTTATGTAATAGCACTGAAGTGGTAAGTAAAAGCCTAATACTGCTGAGCAGTACAAACGTTTGTAATGCAATTAACATCTTCATTATCAATAATATCCCTATTCTGTAATGCGTTTGGCAACAACTTCATTGGCCGTAGTAATGCTTCTGTGATCACATTAATGCTAATATAATGCCCCTGTAATGCAATTAAACAACTATTGTGTAACCATTTAAGAGCTAAAGCCGTATAATTTGTGCCCAAATAAGCATTAGCTATAGCTCCAGAACTAACTCAAAATGCGAAATTGATACGTTACTAGTATAAGCCGGCCGTTATACAGCTTTCATGTGTTATTTAGGTCAACAATAAGTGGTAATAATTTACGTGGTAGAGCCATGCCACAGCTATATTAGTAGTATAGTTGTAGCACGAATGGCTCTACTCGACCGGAGAAGGACCACGCTGTCACAGAATACCAGTATAAAATAGCAGCTTAACCCTTTCACAGTGAATCACGAGTACCGCTCGGCATTCGTATCAAGCGGTGCCTTAAAATGCTCCGCTGTGAAAGGGTTAATAGGTGCTGTGTTTCGTATGATGAATGTAGAGAACCGGAGACCCTTTTTACTGGAAACAGAGCATTCCATCTTAGTCCTCACGGGTGACAACGTATCTGCATTTTGATTCTTAATCGAGGATAAATGTAGATATCTATGGGCCACAGCAACCACTTACCATCAGTTGGTCTGAGTGCTCGTTTGTCACCCTTACGCTATAAAAAAAATCTTTAAATAAACACATACCTTTATAAAGAAAGTAAAATGACTGTGAGAAGCCAAAGAGCACGATGCTGTAGATGATGCCGAAGGTAAACATGTCACCGGTTATCATACTGTAGATCATGGTTACAAACGGACCGGTGAGTTTTACAGCACTGTGAAATTTAAAGAAGTATTTTTAATTAGTATTACCGCTCTAATGTAATTCAAACATACAGCTGAATACACTATTGTGTGTAACCGTGCTTAATGATTTGGAATATAAAAATAACACGCTAATATGCGATATTCACATGAAACATCTTTTCAAGTTTTTTTTATCGGTTTGTGCCTTTTTTGCCAAAATTACAATCTTTCTCTACTCTTTAATATATCTTTGATTTTCAAGGTTTGGTATTTCTTTCATTTATTGCTCTTTAGTTTCGCCGGCAGTAAAATTATCGGGGTTTGATAGGTACACTTGAACAAGTAGCTCCGCGATATGAAGTCCCCAACTTGCTATTCAAATTATTCAATATTTACCATTGATTTCTTTACATGATATACATCATTTATAACATGTAAAAAATCTAAAATATTTATACTGTTCTACTCCTCGCGATATAGTGCTGAGAACGCAGTAATGCATATCGCCTTTGAATAAAACGAGAACCAGCTAACTTGACACAAGCGGCGACGACGAGTCAGATCTCGATACAGTTTCTTTAGGAATTTTACTGCACGTGGACTCCACGGACGGACAATCTCTAGAGCAAATGGAACTGTAACTTTTAACTTTTATACGGATCACTTAATGTTAAATGACTATCGCCGCCCATGAACAACACAATGGGAATTGAAGGTGCGTTGCCCACAACCATTGCGTTGTGTTCAGCAGTGGACCACAACGGCTGGACGGATGGATGTTCCAAGAGCGTACTGCTACCCGTCTCCTGTTTTAATATAAGGCGCCATTTGCCATTTGTTTTAAATACAAACACATTTTAATTGAAGTTTTCCCTAAATGTTAGTGGAACAAAAAGGTAAACAGGTAAACATTACCCAGCAAAAAACATGAGCAGGAACCAGGAACCAGGTAGTACGAAAATCAGGATTGCTTCTTCTATCATAGTTTGCCGGGAGAGTCTAGCCGGTATGCACGCCAAAAGAAGCAAATTAGATGCCAAGAATATAAATTTGGCGGGCTCGTGAATCTGAAAAAATATTTTCATTGCAGCATGACTCTACCACGTTTAAGAGGAGTAGGTTACAAAAAACGCGAAATTACAAGGTTGCCTCGTTGAAATTTTATGTTTTTCGTTAGGTTTAATACTAATTACTTGTTAGAAATAGTTCGTTTTTTCTACTACAGTAAGCTCAAAGCTTATAGCTTATTTATTTAGTATATAATAATCATTCCCCCGAGGCAAGTTTAGACAAAAACTTTTGGAGACATGATTTGAGAGCTCTAATTTGTAGATTCTATTGAATATTGACCATCAAAAAATATTTTTATTTTCTGATAATCCTATACTTTAATAATTATAGAATACATTTTCGTTATATGCCTTTCAGTTTCACGTAAAGAAAAAATCGACATAATTCAATTAACGACCGAAAAACCTTCGATGAAAGACCCAATTATTCCGAAGTTCTACGTCATTTTAACATAAAATTATACCAAAATAACATCAATATTTGCATTTTTAACCTATTTTTAAAATATATATATATAAAAATATAATAAAAAATAAATATATATATATATATATATTGAAATTAAAATGACACACCAAATTTCCATCTACTTCACTCCATTCCAAGAAAACTTGTGTTATGGAAGATCAAAGTCGTTTAGTCGTCGTACTCACAGTAGAATATTCGAGCGAGTGGAATAGATAAAAAAGAAAGTATAGCTCGCGTAGCTCGCCGCCCGCTCAGTGCGTAAAATACCCCAATTGGCGTAACGCCGAAATATAAGTGGGCTCTTTAGATTTTTTTATATCTTCATGTTACTTTTTTGTACCATGATAAAAAAAACCTATTACTTTCTAGAAGGCGAACAAAGCACCTCTAATTTCTCAGGGGTTGCAAATGATCGGCACCGCTCATTAACATCTGCACCAGTGCAACATCAGAGGAACTTCAGGTACGATGTTGGCTTTTGAGAATGGTGTAGAGTGTAGACTTTTCGTATTCTGTGTGAGCGTGCTCCTCTTTCACAGAATAACAGCGTGAAATAGCAGCAAAATGCTGTGTTTTGTATGGCAAGTGTAGAGAACTGCAGACCCTTTTTACCGAAGCATACCATCTTAGTCTGTGACATCACATTAACAATGATTCTTAATCGAAGATAGATTTAAATGTGTATGGGCCACAGCATCCACTTACCATCAGGTAGACTGAGTGCTCGTTTGTCGGTCCAATTCCACTAAAAAAAGTTTTAAGCATAGATTAAAAACTTACCAACTGTTTAAAGTACGCAGCCACACCTTGGTTCTTTATTTCGTCGCCCTGCTGTAGTATAATATAGCACAGCGTACTGAGTATAGTACCCAATTCGCTTGCTAGGCGTATCCCACTCCTGGCGTCCGTCACTTCCAGACCCCAGTCTGGGTTAGCGTCAGCTTCCGCGCTGCTATGCCTCAAGTATACAGAGATGGAAAGTAGAAGTAAATGTAGCATGAAGATCATGAGCCTTTTAAGAAACTTTGTCTGGAAGAGAAAAAGAAAAAAAATACCTTAAAATAAACCTTATTATAGCAGATTATAAAACACTATTTTAGCTATAAGGCCAGAGCACACACAAATGAGAGCGTTTAGCGATTGTGGGATGTTCTTTGTGACACCAGTTGTAATATTATATGGACCTCTACAGAAAAAATCTCTTCAGTCCGCTTAGCCAACTTCGGTTACATCACCACTTACCAACTTACCATCGGGTGGAACAGTAGTCAAGTATACCAGCTAACAATAATTAAAAAAGACTGATCCGTATGCAGTATGTAAACACGGGTCAAATTACTTTCATACAGCTTATTATTTCATATAGCGGGCTTAGCCAAGTTGGCTTTCTTCAATCATTAACGCTGATAGAAAACTATAAACATGATTGGGAATGACATTTTTCTTTATTATTATTGAAATATAAATATCATTATTAATAACAATAGGCCTACCCCAAGTTATACCACAAAGCATAGTCCTAAGCCACCTGCCTCCATTGACATCCCACATGTCTCAACAAATAACAGTACCAAGCCCAAAGCAGCTGCAAGGAAGCTAGGAGTCCTTGCAAAGGTGGGGCGATACTTCACGCCGGGACAGATGCTAACTTTATATAAAGCGCAAGCCCGGTCGTGCATGGAGTATTGGTGCTATATATGGGCTGGTGCTACAAAATGCCACCTAGCAGTTTTAGCCTCAATGGAAAGGCGTGCGAGGATTATTGGTGACCCAAAATTGGTTAAAACCAATCTTACTAGCCTCGAACAAAGGCGCAAAGTAGCCAACCTTTCGGTCTTCTACAGGATGCATTTCGGAGAGTGTGCTCAGGAATTGCATAATTTGATTCCTCCCTGTCCCTTCCACCATCGGACAACCAGACGTTCGGCCAGTCTCCACCCTTTCGTTGTTGACTTAACACGCATTCGAACCAAACGGTTTGCTACGTCGTTCAATACTCATTACTCAATAACTTTATTGCATTCCATAGGTTACAAAAGGTGTTACATAGTTTTATGGTATCTATCTCTATAGACCCTCATGGGCACAGCAATATTATGAAGGAGGAACATTTATTTTGTTTTATTATTATTATTGCTAAATAATTATTTAATAATGATATAAACATACACACATTGAATATGGAATACGGCTATTATAATTGTTATTATTTATTAATTGATTTTGACATTTAATATATTATTATAGGTACTAGCACAATTGAATTTTTATTAAATTATTTGAATCATTTTAAATTTTATTATAATTTTTTATTGTAATTTATTTAGTAGGATGGCATTTCCTTGTTACCTAACATTTATATTTATATCTATATTATATTATATTTTTATCTTCTAAAAATTCAGAAGTATTATAGTAACGCTTGTTTATAAGTAGTTGCTTTAATTTTTTTTTTCAAATGGTTTTTCATTCTTAATGTTTTTTATATATTCGGGTAATTTATTATATACTTTTATAGACATGGCAAATGGGCTGGATGAATGAGATTTTAGTTTTGAAGTTGGTAGCACCAGTTTGTTTCTCTGTCTTAGACTCTTAGATATGATGTCATCGCGTTTTGTGTACACGCTTGAATTTTTTTGACATATTATTAGTAAGGCGCACAGCTTTCTGTGTTTTGTAGATTAGCTATGATCCGTATTAGTTTTTTTTGTTTAGTTAATAAACTTGAGGCCTCGGTGCTGCATCCCCATAGGACAATGCCGTAGCTAAACCATGCATATGCATACGCGTAGTAGGTTGTTATCGCGGTGGTTACATTTGTTGTTTTTTTTTACTTCTCGTAACGCGTACATAAAGCTGCTTAACTTCCTATGTAATTTTTCTATATGTGGTTTCCAAGTAATATGGGTATCTATTATTAGGCCCAGTAGGTTGTGCTCGTTAACTGTATCTATAGTGAAGTCGTCATTATCTATTTTAATATCTAATTTTGGTTTTTGATATGGGTGAAAAGACATTATTTTAGTTTTCGATAAGTTTATCCGCAGGTTATGTTTAGTTAGCCAGTCCGTTGTTCTAATATATTGTTAATTTTTTCTGTTAGATTCATTGGACTTTGGCTTGATACAAGAATAGAAATATCGTCCGCAAACATGACACAGTATTCCTTGAGAGCCTCTGCAAAGTCATTAATGTAAATTAAAAACATAAGACACCCCAGCACACTGCCTTGAGGTATTGAGGCATTAATAGTTTTAGTATCGGATCTCATTTTTTCAATTTTGTGCAATTTGTCATTAAAGTACTCAATTTCTACTACTTGCGTTCTATTGTGTAAATATGATTTTAGCAGATTGTAGCACGGGCCTCTGATTCCTATGTCATATAATTTATTTAGTAATATGTTATATAATTATATTGCACTGTATCGTATGCTTTTGACATATCTAATAGGATTCCTATAGCAAATTTTTTATCGTTAATTATATTATGTATTTTTTGAATGTAATTATAAATTGCTAGAACTGTTGATTTGTTTTTGCAGAAACCGTTTTGACTTTCATTAAATATATTATATTTTTCACAGAATTTATAGATACGGTCGTATAATGCTTTTTCAAATATTTTAGAGGCTGTGGGCAATAAGGCGATAGGTCGATAGTTGCCTGGATCCGTTTGTGTACCTTTTTTATAGATTGGTTTCACTAGTGAAAGTTTTAGTATATCTGGGAATACGCCTTCTTCAAAAGATTGGTTTACTAATAATGTTAGTGGATATACTAAAACGCTTGCACATTATTTGAACAATGTTGGGGGAATCTCATCAACACCATGGCTTAGTTTATTTTTTAGACTATTTAATATTTTAAGTATTTCTTCAAATCCTACTCTGCCTATAAATATTGAGTTTTCTGATGGATGTAGAACAGAAAGACCCTTTGCTTGTGGATGAACTGTTTCACCGATATTGGAGAAGTAATCATTAAATATATCGGCGATCTGTTTTGGGTTAGAAGAAATTTGTTTGTTGATATTTAATTTAATATTCGATTTTACCTTTAAGTTTATTTGTTTGTGCGTTCTCGAACAATATGCTACATTGTTTTTATTTTATTGTTAGACTGCTTTATCTTGTTTATACAGTGTAATTTTTTTGACGTTGTTAAAACCTTTTTTAATATTTTTACGTATTTCTTATAATAATCTGTAAGAATTTTATTATTTGACCTTATAACGTGCGATTGTAATCTTTTGTTATAAAAAAGACTTTTTTATACCAACGGTAAGCCATTGTTTTTTATAGTTGTTTTTTATTTTTTAATTTTATTCGTTCGTCATGCGTACAGCAAAGGAGTGGAATAAGTTGCCAGCATCTGTCTTTCCATCCGATTACAACGTGGGTGTCTTCAAGGCAAGAGTGAACAGATTTTTGTTAAGACAGTGCGCTTTGATCTTAAGCTACATCACCACTTACCATCAGGTGGGATTGTAGCTAAGTGCTGGTTTAGAATAATTAAATAAAAACATTATATACGAACGATTAAATAGGAATAAATGAGGATAGAAATGTAATATTCCACTTGTTCTGTCAGTATAAAGTATCGTGCGGGCGACTAAATGGGATCAGTCGGTAACTTTACGAGTGAACTTGCGAGTCAATGTTGTTACATGTCCGTTATGGTATTCTACTGGTGTAGGCAAGGAAGATCGTTTGCTGAGAGGCTGCCCTGTGTTGCATTGAGATGGGTGGTGTTGCTGTTACATCTACATGTTGCATAAACATCTACATTTATCTTCAATTGAGATTCAAAATACAGATCCGTCGTTACCCTTGAGGACTGAGACGGAATGTCTCGTTTCCAGTAAAAAAGGTCTCCATTTCTCTACACTCACCATACGTAACACAGCAGCTTTACGTTGTTATTTTACGTTGGTATTCTGTGAGAGCGTGGTGTTACCCCGGTCAAGCTGACCCATTTGTGCTACAACCATAATATAGCTGCAGCGTAGCTCATCACGTAACATACAAATAAATAAATTAACTGAATGGACACGATACTTAATTGTTTACATACTCTGGCAAATGTTTTCCATTTCTCTTCCAGTAGCCTCTGAATAATACCTCCGTCTATCATGTCTATATGCTCCTGTTTTGTACCATTTAGAATTATGAACAGCGCCGAGTTCCAATCTGTAAAATGGACTTAATGTAAATAATTGAACGCAATAAAGAATTCGCAAAGAAAATTTAGTTTCAATTTTAGTGGTTAACATGATCATAGCTAACAAAAGGTGGGGGAAAAGCCTCTATTGTCTAACTTGGGAATTTAGTGTCCCCCTGAAAATTGCAAGCCACAAGAAAAATGTTGGCTACCCCCATGTGCGATGAGGCAAAATCAAAAGTTCGGGGAATAAAAAAAGCATCATCAAGACCAAAATATCTGGACAAAATTTGAAAATGTCGGGAATTTAGGGCTGTTGTCGGGAGAAACAAATATGAAATAATATAAGAATGTAAAATATTTTTTTAATTAATAGACATTAATGAAAAGAATTAATACACAAAAATACTAAACATTGTTGACATACCAATTTAAGTAATTTGAGTAGGTTGTCACATCTATTTGACATTAGACACACATTTAGTGAGTCCACCGATTTGGATCCTTTAGTAGTATTCAGAAATGATTTAAAATTCAAACAATTTACTTGAAGTCAGAGGTTATACAATTTTTCTCTTTGGTACATAAATTATTAGGCAAACTAACACCCTATTAGTAAGCATTGCTTACAGGAATGGGCAACACTAATAATGATATATATTAATTTTTAATTTTTGAGGTTATATTAGTTGAATTAAAAAAAAAAATATGCACAAATTTTGTCACTTGACAAGTGTTCGACTTTTAGATGTTCAAGTATTTCTCGAGGACCAAAGTAACTTGGTCAATAATAATCAATATCGATTAAAATATTAAGTTCGTCAGTCAATAAGGCGAGAGAGAGAGAGAGAGAGAGAGAGAGAGAGAGAGAGAGAGAGAGAGAGAGACGTAGAATATACAGCGAATTTATTGTATAAAGTACTTAGAAAAAACATAGTATTCTTGCAAGTATTGAATAGCTCGTTTCAAAAACTGTTCAGCTTCGACGCAAAAAAAGGTTTTCTCACAATCAGCAACATACCTTAATAAGGCTCATTTCTACTACCGAATAATTTGTCATATAACCTGTTTTTTGAGGTGACTCATTAGTTTTTTCATTATACTGTCAATTTCTAGGACGGTGCATGCAGCACTTACCAATGCTAAAGTTACTGCTTGGATATCCAACATTACGTTGTGTACAAAGTGTAAATAAACTTCTGAAATCCCTTCTTAATATAGCTTAGACTTTTTTACAAACACCTATATTAAAATCTTAATATATCCTTTCGATATTCGTTTTCCCCTTTCAACAAAAAAAATACTGCTTTACAGCAGATTATCAATACAGTAAACGATCTAAAGCGGGCAAAAGAGATAACCATTTGTTACTAATTTGTATAGAACTTTACTAGATTCTGTTTGTCTGGAGATTTTGAGTTTTGTCGGGAGTCCGGAGATTACTTAAAATGTCGGGAGAATCCAGACGAATCCCGACCATCTGGCAACCCTAATCACATGTCACAGAAATCTTGATAAATGGGTAAAGAAGGCGATTGGCGGCATTTTATCACATTTTTACTCGTGTAATGTCTGTCCGGGTCGAATTTAGTAAATAAGTAACTAACTTCCCGATGAGCTGGAGACTTGACAATTTGAACATAGCTCGGATATTAATTCATCTATACACTGTATCTTAGCACCGACCTCATAAGCTATTGTGTGGTGATTATTGTATTCTTTTAGTTCCAATAGTATCAAGATGTTTCGTGTTGAACACTACAACCTTGCGATCACTCCACCTCGCGCTAGTCCTTCTTTATTCATTTAATGAGAAATGTTTTGCAATGCTTTTGCGCGCATTTCCTTATTACGGTAATTTTGGGATTTATTATCCCATAGAAGTTCATTTTCGCCGTACAACTGAACCAATCTTAAGTGTTCGTTGTCGTTTAATTTTCGGCGTAATTTTCGCTTGAATTTTTGATACGATGCGACGTCACCCATTGCAGCACCAGCGACTGATCAAGTACTGACTTGGGTCGTTCAGACTAGCTCAATACCGCCGGCACGGGTGGCGGGTGGAGTGGACTGACTTCAAAATATTCAAGCAGGAATATTGACTCGAAATTAATTTATATTTTATACTATGTCAGTATCGGGCCAGCACTGACTGCCTGTAATCGGAGTCAGTTACAGTCAGTCAGTCACTGACCCTGTGTAAATCAGCCATAAGTCAAAACGATTTCCCCACTCACTGACATTGAATTCAAACCGGGATTCATTTTTTTGATCGACGTGGCCGCGTGCAGACGTGCGTTGCAACATATTTGGCTCTCCAACCTCTCACCGGGTCAGTTATAAATTTTAACTTAAGATTTCACACTCACGGTAAGTTTTTGGATGTATGTCAGTTCAACTGATCTGTCTAACTGACCGTGTGTGCCAAGCATTAGACCAACGTCAACCGTCCATTGCACTGCGGTTGACTTTTTATGGACAAATTATCGTGATAATGATCAAATTTCAAAGGTAATAATTTTCGTACTTGTCTTTCCATCTGGCAATAATGTGTCCAAGGCGTTCAACGGGTAAGCGGAACATGTGATGTTGGAATATCTCCAGAACTCTCTAGAGGAAAGTTCCAACATCTCCCGAAACACGGAGGCGCGACCCAGATGACAAGCCAAAGTAAGCGGTGTGAATCCCGCATGGTTCATTCGACCGTTGCTGGCTGGCACTTTAGGATGGCGAAGGGCGTAGCCAAACATGTCCTAGAACAAACAAATTAATATAAAATTAGCGACCCGGCCCGGTTACGCCTAGGTAGGATCTATTAATGTGGCTTTATTTATAACTTCACCATTGTCCTTCGATCAACAATGTTGATCGAAGCCTTTGTCACTTCCACATTTGAAAAATTATACAGGATTATTTTTCAAAGTCGCCAAATTTTAAACATAAGTTCAAATATGTAAATAATGATATACCATTATTGCAGTTTTTGAAAATACCGAGTAAATAAGGCTTCTACTTTCATTTAAAGTTATCCCAAATTGAATGTGATTTATTTATAACATCGTTTTTGCCTACCGATCGACCCTTACGAATGTGCGTGCGGAGTAAAATCTGTTAAAATAATACATTAACACGTATTTTGAATTTAAAAGATAAAAAGGAAAGAATGTTTGAGATTTTTTTTAATTAATTTTTCATCATCATTTGCCTATATTACTTATTCTGAATCTTCTCTGCAAATTTAGCCGGTTATTTCGAAATAAGCCTGTATAGTGTTTTAAAAGGAAGTGACAAAAGAACGAACGTGGATACTGAACTTCTTTACCTGGACTTTTTTAAGAATTGATTAGAAAAAATATAACTTGAAAGAGTTGCCTTTTTACGAAGGTAGCACTGAAAGTTCTTAGAAAATCAAAAACTGAACGAACTAGCAAGTTATTAGTTTTATGATATCTTTTCAAAATAGTGTACATTTACATCAATACATCGCTGCATCCGATGGAATCACTAAGAAAAGCACTTTGCCCACTCGTCCTTAGGGGTATCTACGGTGGCATTTTGAATCGCAGCCACTGCTTTCTCGGCGTCCATAAAACGTTTTCCTCGAAGTTTTTCTTTTATTTTCGGAAGTAAATAAAAATCGCAAAGTCTCGCACCCTGTCGCACCGAGGAGGGTGACCCTAATTCCACTAGTCGCCAAGTCGTCGATTGTTTGCTTGGCGGTGAGCGACGAGGCGTTGTCATAAATGAGGATCCTACTGCGAGGTCGTTTCTCCCGAACATTTCCCAAGACAAGTGGCAAACATTTGTTGGTGTTCCACTCTGCAGTAACTGTTTTTCGATCCTTGTCATTGAAGTATCGCTCGTACTCGTAACTCGTAACTCTCTGCGGGAGCTCGGGTCGTCGACCGCTGGGTGCGTAAAATACCTAAATTTGCGTAACGCCGAAATGTAAGAGGGCTCCTTACATTTACTAAAATCGCTTTTATATGGCACAATTAAACTCATTAAACCAGTTGTAAACAGTGGTACGAGATGGGGCTTCAACGTGAAAGTCCAATCGAAGTCTATAATAACTTTCTTGTTGACATAAATAACATCGAAAGTCACAAAAAATCATTGTACGAAAATTTTCTCGTGTTGTACGTTGTCTTCTGCAAGGATTTCTTAGGCCTCGGGCCTCGGGGTACACCCCTTTACCCGGGCACCCTTCTCGTGTTAAATTCCTGCAGACGTGACACAGACAATTTTCAATTTGCCGCCGAATCGTAAACAAATGACAAATTAATAAAATACACACACAGTATTATTGGCAAAGAGTTTTATCTTTTTATTATATCGTTTACAAGTGGCCAGTTCTAAAAAGTTTCAGTTTCGCCCTCGTATGACTGTCTTGGTAATACCGCTGTTGATCATCTATAAAATTTGGATTTGAATGATGAAGTTGATCGTATATTTTCCCGTACATCCCTCCTTAATCACATAAGATACATAAGTACGTATCTTACTCCAAAAGGCAAACGTTTCTGGGCACGTATGGATAGTTGGGTAATCAAAAGAAATTAATATTATGTAGGTACGAGTATGTGATAACTATTTCCAAATGTTTATTTTAAAAGCGACAGTAGCCTAATGGCAGAGTCCGGAAAGCGACAGTAACCTAATAATGGCAGGGTCCGGACCGCGAACTCAAAAGGTTGTGGGTTTGAATCCACCATTCGACTACTGGCGTGAACCACTCGTAATACAAGCAATTTAAACTTACGAGTGGTTAAAGGAAATATTAGTTATGATTATAGCATTGCTTGTATTTTATTAAAAAAGTCTGTTTATCTTATATAGTTTTTTTTTAAACTTAACTTGAAAAAGCTAAATTAAAGTTAATTTGATAGAGTTTTACGGCTTATATTAGCGCCCAAAATTCAAAGCTGCAAAGACAGGGAAGTACATATAACACTAAGCCTTCACCTTCTTCATCAGCTCCTTAAAGTTCACCCCCCTATACCGAGGATTTGCCAACGCTTTAACAGAACATTCTCGAATCTTTGACTGTCCACTGACTATTTATAACACCATCTTTCGCAAGCCATGAAGATCTTTCTGACACACCATAGAAATGTGGTGACAAATCTCATACGGCGCGGCGTTTCCATACGGCCAAACACGAGACATCTAGTCACAAAACAACGTAATTTTTTTTATAGAATAGGTATGACTATTTAGCACACTGTCCACCTGATGGTAAGTGGATGCTGTGGCTCATAGATATCTACATTTATCTTCGATTAAGAATCGAAATTCAAATACGTTGTCAGCCGTGAGGAGTGAGATGAAATGCCTCTTTTCCTGTAAAAAGGGTCTCCGGTTCTCTACACTCATCATACGAAACACAGCAGCATTTACGCTGGTATTCTGTGAGAGCGTGGTCCTTCGCCTATTAAACCGACCCATTTCGTGCTACAACTTTACTATTAATATAGCTGCTGCATGGCTCTACCACGTATAAAATATGTGCTAGTTTGTCAACCTTTATTCTATAAAAAAGTGAACTTTTGATGCGCTATAATGAATTAATTAATGAAATACAGCGAGAGTTAGTCTTAATGAATACCTACAGAGGTTCATAACTAAAAAATAATAAAATAACCTTTTTATACAATATTTTGAACTAACCTACCAGTTTATCGCACACGACCACCATATGCAGGATCATATTGCCGAATGAGTCTTGGGCGTCGGGGTCTGCTCCAGAGTCCAGCAAGAGGTTGTACACAGCTTCGTTTGCACAGCATGCCGCCCAGGCTAGTGGGTACTCGCCCAGATACGCCAGACCCTCGTAGTTTGTGTGACGATGTGGTGGAACGCGTTGTTGATCACGAGGTAGGAAGAAACTTCCTATGAATCAAAAGATTTGTAACATTATCCTCCAGTTTTATTTAATAGATCAGATTTCTTATACATATTTACTACATGCGAACACTGTACACGAATTTTACGGATTTTATCGTATTTAAGTTTACCTTTTTTAACCCCCGACAGAAAAGGGGACTGTTATAAGTTTGACCCTAACCGAAAAGCTGTCTTAAGCAGCGTATTACCAACATTTTGCCCAATTTTACTTTTTAATATAGAATAAGGGTATAGGTAGCCGTGGTAGCTCAGATGGCTAGCGCTAGCTGTCAATTTCATAACACGCGAGCAAACTGGGTTCGATCCGCGCCGGCACCAATGAATTTGTTAATTGCAATTTTAAGTGCTGATTTACCACGTGCTCAGAGGTGATGAAAAACCATGATGTTTTTCTTCACCGCCGAGCTGAGCTGGATCCCGAATCGGAATTCCGAGATGTGGCCGGCCTAAATCAATATTAGTACCTATTTATACGTGGTAGAGCCATGCTGCAGTTATATTAGATGTATAGTTGTAGCACGAATGGGTCGGCTCGACCGGGGAAGGACCACGCTCTCACAGAATACCAGCGTGAAATAGTAGCTTAATGCTGCTGTATTTCGTATGGTGAGTGTAGAGAACCGGAGACGCATTTAATGGAAACGAGGCATTCCATCTTAGTCCTCACGGGTGACAACGCATCTGTATTTTGATTCGTAATCGAGGATAGATGTAGATGTCTATGGGCCACAGCAACCACTTACCATCAGGTGGACTGTGTGCTCGTTTGTCACCCTAGCCTATAAAAAAATAAGTATCGAAAACTATTTTGAATAAACAGCACAGATTAAATACTACTACTACTACGTAGTACGTAAAAAATTTTTGTTTTATACTATTATTTATTCTGTGCTACTACGTAAACAGTGAGTATGACTCATAGTATCAACGAACTAACAGAGCGACGTGCCAGGTGAACGACCGGCCTTGATACTACATAATAATAATATTCTGACTCGACCCTCGAACGACCGTTATTCCGATCCACCGTCATTTTGACAATAATGCTACAATTACCAAGGCCTTCGCTTAAGACCGATTTACACTTCGACAAATACAGTAGCGAGTTAACTTGCAAACCTGGCGAGTAAATGAGACTCTCCAAAAACTCCCAAAATAAAAAAATTTAAACTCGAAATGCTGCACTCATGAAAATTCTTAAAAACTTCTTTAACAACAACCATTAAAACTTCTCTGACTGGATCATTTAATTTTTGACGTAATCCTAGAACCATCTAAACGAAAAGCAGAAAAATTCTGTAGTATTGCAACGTCATACTCCAACGAACTCTATGAAGTAATGTCCTTAACTAAACTCGCCATGAATACATTGTTTGAACGCTACTGCCCACTTGACCATTTACTGTCAACTGTCCTGTAACTAAACTCGCTACTGTACTTGTGGAAGTGTAAATCGGTCTTTACGCATCAAGACTAAATCGTATCGGCGATGGCCTTGTTGGTAAATAAATATAAGTATTACTTATTCGCAAACCTTTCTTATTAAAAACTAAATATTTATAAATAATAATATAAAAAAATGCTCCAACTAAACCATGATACGACGCTCGCCCTCTAAGGCTTCAATCGCACGAGAGCTTTTTTAACGTTCGCTTTTTTAATGTTCCGGCATCATCCTACTATACCTCTGAACCTAATTTGACCCTCAAGTACTGAGGTTAGTCCGAGGGACCACAGGTAAAAATTAAAACGTTATATCTAACGTTCTTGTACTCCGAATTATATCACTCACTCAATACCTTTCGTTCAGTCACAGTCATGGCCCTGCCACACTAAGGAGAAATGCCGTTAATTATCGCGTTGATGGACGTTGAATGTAGGTGTGGCCACGAATTAACGCGATAATTTGACAACGGCATTAACAATGCCGTTTCCTGTTTGCCGATAACTCGAGTGGCGGTACATCAAAGGATTAACGCGCGAATTATCGCGTTGAAACGGCCACACTACGTTTGTCTCATTGTGCACGGTGAGTGCCACGGGGTTGCACGTGTGGCTGCGATGGAGTGGAGTAATGAAAAAGCTTTTCGAGATTGAATTAAAAAAAGTTACTTCAAAAGTACTGTTGCATGAATAAGTCAACTAGCGCCATCTAGTGTCAGCAACAAGAGCGAGGGGGAGCTTTGCAGTGAATGACATCACAACCGACAGCGCCATCCGAAGAAATTAAGTTTCTAGAAAATCTATACTCGGACTCTCGGTACCTTACGCGTGTTTGCTTGAACATTCTGGATATTTGCTAATTTAAATAAGTAGGCGCTGCAAGGTGCGATCGAGGCAGTGTTGATTTGGGCGAAACAAGCGAAGTTTCGGGCGGAATTAAGTGAATTAGTGTGTTTAATTATTAGTGTTTTAACTTTAATTTGTGTAAAGTAAATTAAAGTGTTAATTTAGGTAATTTTATCGGCAATTTTTATTGTCACGAACCTCAAGCTCGTAACAATTGGTGTCAGAAGTGGGATAAAATCATGCCGATTTTACCTAAGGAGGAAACGGAGGGTGTCCGTACCCGAAGTCAACGCCAGCAGGAGACGGACCAAAGAAGATTTGGTGGTGCAACGCCGCAGACGTCGGAGGGCCAGCCACCGGCTGAAGGCCCGTCGGTAGCTCCTACATCTGCAGCACCTGACTTAGGTGCTCTGATGGTGATGCTGCAGGAGCAGGCTCGCCGACAGGAGGAGCAGGCTCGCCGACAGGAGGAGCAGGCTCGCCGACAGGAGGAACAGGTCCGTCAGTTGAAAGAGCAGCTGCAGAGCGGACAGGAGGGACAGGCCCGCCGATTGGAAGAGCAGCTGCGGGGCGGACAGGAGGAACAGGCCCGCCGACAGGAGGAACAGGCCCGTCGTTTAGAAGAGCAACTCCAACGCGATAAGGAAGAGCAGATGCTCCTCATGAAGGACCTTCACGCTATCTTCGGAAAAGAGATACGGGAGGTGAAGGATAAGGTTGCTCAACATGACAACCGCCTGTCGGAGGCCGAAACCCGAATCGACCAAGTAAACAATCGGGTTGACAACGTAATGGCTAACGTGAAGAAAACGCTGGACGACCTCAAACTTGGGGATGGAACAACAGCTCCCGTAGTAGCTACAACACCTTCGCTACGTGGATTCAAAGTGCCGCCGTTCGACGGGACCTCTTCCTGGTCGTCCTACAAAATCCAGTTCGAGGCCGTCATGGAGGCAAACGGCTGGAATAAAAGCCAGGCCATGACTGCACTCACCTTAGGCCTGCGCGACCAAGCCTTAACTGTGTTGGAAGCTCTCGGTAAGAAAGTGACCTACGAGCAGCTCCTTGAGGCATTGGAGGCGAGATATGGCGACGCTCACCTGGAACACGTCTTTCGTGCGCAGCTTAAAGATCGTGTGCAGCGCATCAACGAAAACCTGCAGCAGTGGGCTCTAGAAGTGGAGAAGCTGGTGCGAAAAGCATACCGGTCTGTACCTGCGCTCATTGAAGGGAACCTGGTGCAGACATTCATCGACGGCATCCGCGACCTGGAAGTCAGAGCTGCTGTGAGGCTCGGGCACCACGAGACGCTTAAGGACGCCTTGGCCCATGCACTGGAAGTGGAAGCCGTGCGGCAGGATCATCGTTCCCATCGCGTCAGGGAGGTTGCAGCAGCTACAGTTCGCGACCGCAACAAAGGATACAGCCCAAGGTGCTATGGCTGTGGGGAAAAGGGCCATCTTCGATCCAGCTGCCCTAAGCGAACCCTAGAAAGGGAAATTGAACGATCTCAGGAGGGTAGTGCGGCCAACAGCGCCGCCCAGCAGCAGCAGGGAAACGAGTAAAAGCCAGAACTGCGGGGCGGGTGCTGGCTGATGTTAAAAGAGCCCCAAGGATCTCGATCTCACAAACCCATGATGGGAACAGCCTAATCATAAAGGGCGAGATCAACGGAATGCCGTGTAAGCTGACCATAGACACTGGAGCCTCTCGTACGGTTGTTAGTTCCCAACTTATAAGTCAGTTCCTTGGGGACTCCGCATACAACCGAGAACGCATTAATTTGGTAACAGCCACCGATCAGCGTATACCCGTCCGTGGAGAGAAGGAGATGGAGTTGAAGCTAGGCAACGTGATCTACCTGCATAATGTCATCGTGGCTGATATAATGGACGACTGCATCCTAGGCCTAGACTTTATGAGGAATAATTGTTGCGAGATCGACGTTAAGCAAGGTGTTTTGAAATGTGGACAGGAGGAACTTTTTATGGAAGGTGCGTTACCAGGGAACGTGTACAGCATCAAGAAGATTGTTCTTCCGCCGAGATCGGAAACGATTGTTCCGGTTAGTCTTCCTCGAAACGCTGGGCAAACTCACCGTTGTGTACTTGTGGAAAGGGTAAACAATGACCTTCCATGGAAAGTAGCTCGAACCTTGGTCAGGACCACTGACAGCTCAGGAGTACGTGTGCTGAACCTTTGCGACCGGGAACAGATTATAGAAAAAGGCACACTGGTTGGTACTTGTGAGGAAGTGGATTGGTTACGTCAGTGCCAATCTATATCGAGTGGGACCCCCAGCAAGGATTCAGAAACGAGAGTGACCACACTTTTGGAAGACTGTCGCAGTGTTCTGTCGCCGAACGAATTGGTCAAGGCGAAGAAGTTGTTACTCAAGTACGCCGATGTATTCTCATCAAACGATGCTGACATAGGAAAGACTGGCTTAGTTCAACACAAAATAAACACAGGAGAGGAATTGCCTATCCGTCAGCGGCCAAGAAGATTGCCGGTAGCACGTGAAAAGGAAGTGGAAACCATAATTGAAGGAATGGTGAAGGATGGTGTTATTGAACCTTCCTCTAGTCCATGGTGTTCACCAGTGGTGCTGGTGAAAAAGAAGGATGGCAGCATGCGGTTCTGTGTTGATTACCGCCGTCTGAATGACGTTACAAAGAAGGACAGCTATCCCTTGC